AGAGAGAGAGAGAGAGAGAGAGAGAGAGAGAGAGAGAGAGAGAGAGAGAGAGAGAGAAATAAAGCAAAACGTATAAACGTAGTTAGGAATGTGATGCGCTAATACTAGAGAGAAAGAGCGAGAAAGAGAAGAAAAGAAAAGGAGAAATGGAATCCTTCATATTCGTTGGGAGAACGACGCGTTACAGAGATCCATCGCTATTTATTACACAAATAGATGAAGTATTTTGTAAAGAAAAAAATAACTTAGGGAATATATACAAATCTATCGTCGATATATTTTTAATTACCACTTAAACCGTGAATGTTTATATACACGCGCATTTTCGTTTTACTTTCAATGAAACTCGTACATTCAGTTGTTTGCGCAAACCCATTAAATCGGTTTCAAGCTAGTCTTCTTCCAATCGATCCTCGATTAATTCTTCCGCATCATGTTTCTAGCGTCATACGTTCTAGCAAGTAATATGAAAAATTCAGGATTCGCCAGACCTCAAGTATAAGGATGTACTAAAAATATATTATATATATATAATAATATATATATATATATATATATAAAAGAATGAGCTGTATTATTATAAAAAATACTCCACCGCTATGTACTTGTAACCGTAAAAAAAGAAAACAGAGAGTACACCTTAGGTTATACGTTTAGCCAGTAAGTTTGTATACAAGAAGAAAAAAAAAATGAAGAAATTACTACGACGTAAGTTGAAGGCGGAAGGAAAGCATAAAAAAATGTGTGTGCCATATCGAGAAGAATGCATCTAATGCGTGTGTATGTGGTTTTGCGTGCGAAAGCGTGTTTATGCGTGCGTATATAATGCAAAAGCGAGAAAGAGTATGAGTGAGAAAAAGAGCCTGTGAGCAACAAAAAATGAGAGAGCGTTTACATGTGCGTAGTCGCGTGTACCGTGAGAGAAAAATGTCAAATTTCTCGAAAAGACGGAAAACGGACTATGCGATGAGATTAATGACAAATAGCTTTACGATTTATAAGAAATGAAAAAAAAAAGAGAGAGAAAGAGAGCGAGAGAGCAAGATTTTTCAAAGTTCGGCGTACGATTTTTTGAGTGATTATAAACAAATGAGAAGCTCAAGAAGCGGTCTATTTTGAAGGGTTAGCGACGAGAACCTGATGATATTTCCACATTCGACGGGACGAACGGTTTTCAACAAGCTCCTTTGATACTTCGAAACCCGATCGTTTCGTCGGGGTGTAGGCGTAGTTGGTGTTCCTAGAGAATAAAAAGAAGAAGAAAAAAAAAAGAAATAAAAAAGATAAAAATGAGGGAGGAATAATAATTAAACGCGTCTCTAAAGAAGGAAGAAAACAATTCTCCGGTGCCTTTGCATAGCGCTGGACTGTTTCCGCACCTGCATACTTTTCCACCTAAGTCGAGTCTAAGGAGTGGCCTCGTGCGTAGCTCTTTCTCGGGACACCCTGTATGCTCCTTTCCTCTTTCGTCTCCCGTACGAAACTTTTTCGTCGTTTTTTCGCCATCCTGCTCCTTTTTGCGCCGCGGAACAAGCTAAAGGACGAAACAAAAAAAAAAAAGAAAAGAGGTTTAACGGGCGATGGAGAGAGGAACAAAATGAAATATTTTTTAATAATGCGAAAATGATCGAAAGAGAAAAAAGCGAGAGAAAGAGACGGGGGAGAAAAACGTAAGTTTTTAAGGCTTGAGACGTTTTGCTGGCGATGAGAGAGCGTCGGCAAACAGCACGAACAAACCGAGCACTTTTGTACTGTTTTTAATTGAAGAACGAAGGAAACACCTGCGATTTGGTTCTAGCGTCGTAAGCTTCATTCCTCGAATTCTCGATTAAACTTTTTGTTATTCGAATCGTCACGTTGGGTGAGAGATTGTAATGAAAATTACGAAAATGTTTGACGCTGGGTTTACAGAGATTTCTCGTCAGATTTTTAATAACGAAGTGATGCTTTCATAAATGAAGTTGATTTACTAAAATTAATTTGCGTATATGTTTGTATCTTTATGGAGATAAGAGTCAGCATAAGCAAAAAAATATTTATGAAATATCTTTTTGATATAAATATTTATCAAAAATAATTATATTATAAATCGAAAAAATTGTTTCTGTAAACACGTTGTGAAAATAGAAATGGATCAAAGTGGCCGTGCTCCGTAAGCCTAGCGTTAAGTCTATCTTTTTCGACAAAATTCAAATTTTATTTCTGTTGTTATGTATATACGTTTCGTATTTATTCGTTTCGCATACAAATGTTATGGATATACGTCGAGATTTTCGTTTATAGTACGAGTCGAAAGAATCGGAATTAACTTGAGAAAACGATAGCATTGGGGAAAAACTAATTCGCAAAAATCCACAGTTCGAAACGTTCTGTTTCCCATCTTACTTTTGACGTTAGTCAGGAAACATTCTCTGTTTGTAATCGATAGTAGCGACTAATTAAACAATAAGTATCGCGTTTTATAGAGCATAAGTAGTAACTAAGGTATAGGCCTTTATTGCCTAAGTTGCACGAGCTAAGAGTATGAGAGGAGAGATTGCGTGCGTACGAGCGAAAGAGATAATAAGATTGAACATTCACATATATCTCGTTTTGCAATTTAAATCTCCCAACTGTGAACAAGAGAAATAATGATCAAATCGATACGAAACTTCCATGAATTTACGCGATTTCCGTTTATGTTTCATCGAGTGTTCCGCAGTGGTGTTCATTTAATCCTCTATTTTTCCAATTTAAGTATAATTAAGCGATATCAAAATTCGATGACGTCGTAAACTGCAAAAAAAAAAAAAAGAATTGTGAGAAAAACGCTTAACTTCGATACTTTTAAAACGTAGAGGATTAATTATAGGAAACGTCATTTTTATCGTTATTATAACCGCTTTTTGTAACATTTGTACTATCATTTACAGCGATACAAATAGATACTTAAACTTGTACTTCTGTAGTAAGTTCTAAAGCAATCATTGCTCGAAATGTATCGACGTATTTACCAATACTCATATAATTTCATCGATTCCTCGAAATTGTTTAAGACCTTGAGACTATCGCGTTCTTCAGTGCGTAACCAGTGTTGGGCAAAATGCAATCCACGATTAGCTCTGAAATGTTACAAATTACTGTATCAGTGCGAGGATGTATAATCTCAGATAAAAGATTGTAGTTCAACTATTGCCGATTAATTCGACAATTGCGAGCGATTATTGCAAAAGTAATCACTGCCCAACTCTGCGCGTGACCTCGAACCGCGGCAAGAAAGACGTTGCGCCAAATTTCGAGCATTGATTTCGTTACTTAACCCTTTGTGCTCTAAACATTATAATTTCGCACAGTTCAGCTCCAAGTCGTCCTCTTTATTTCGTTTCACGTAGAGTGGAGCGCGACGTTGGAGTTACTGGAGCAAAATCTGACGGCGAAGAGAGCACGCCCTTTGGATCGCAAAGGGTTAACGGTAGTTAACGTATTAGGTGGAGGAATTCTTTCTGTGCCTTTATATTCAATTACTTGTTACTTTTTATTATATTTAAAATTATCAACCTTGTAGGTTCTCGACCTGATCTTTATTACAATGAATCTGTACATGTGATATTATTACTGTTATTATATCGTAAAGAGGTAAAATTTGTTTGTATGTAAGAGGTAATCTCTGGAACTACCGAACCGATTTTAACAATTTTGTTAGTAATAGAAAGCTACACTATTCCTTAGTAACATAGGCTATGTTTTATTTTGATAAAAATAAGGTTTCAGTTCGAAATCTCAATATTTGTACATAAGCAAAACTTGTGGGATAGTGAACCTCGTACACATAGGTGCATTCCAATGACCACCAGATCGAGACTTATGTGTATATTGTAGATACATTGCAATAGAGATCAGGTTGAACATTTAGCAGATTCGTGCTTTAACATGCTTTAACGTAAATGGTGAGTAAACGTATCTTTTTAAATTAAAATTACAGATAATTGAATATAGAGGCACAGAATTGATTTCTACACTCGATAAAACCGACACGACAAGCGATCAGACGTAAAAGTAATCGCACGAACAGGGAAGAAAAAAAAAACTAAAAAAGAGTAAATACACTTTGTTGTAAATCAAACGCGATTCTCCGAGAGGTACGGGGGTGACAATGAGAATCATATTTTTCTACGCAGTGTCGAAACTCTTAATCGTACTGAATCTATGCGAGGTCCGAGCTCGTATCAACGAGCTGCAAATTAAGGTTGGTTCATGCAAAAAGAGGATAAAAGAGTACAATAACAAACTTCAAATACGCGCCAATATACAGGCCGCCGCGATTTTTTTCTCCTACGTTTCTGTTGATCATAACTTCTATATTGTAAACATTTTTTGATAGGTTTCATTTAGTAGACGAGGCTCTAAAGTTTTAATTGGCAACAGATACAGTTTTTAATAAGATAACAAAATTATAACTGGAAACAAATATTGTAATTTTAAATTGGGTATTATTTAATACGACTTATAAGGATGATATTTGATCCTAATATTATTTGATCCGCTAAACAATAAGAAACGAAAACAAACCAAGAAACAAACACAATTATCTAACCAATTAACAGAAAATTTCCATAAATAATCGATGCCAACTTATTAATGAAATCCATTAAATACTGTTATAAAGTATTCGCATCCAAAAGAAATCACGATACTAAATAAAATTAAAAGTCTCAGCTATAAAATGAAGCAGAAATATTTGAAGAATGCGTTCAAAATCGATGAAGTTATGATCTGAAGGGGAAAAAATGGCTGCAACCTGTGCTTGTGGAGAAGTCTCGGCGTGCTTCTCTCTTTGTAAATAACGGACTGAGAAGAAAGGATAGATTTAAGACGAACACCAAGTAAAAATACGTCAGCGTAAGAACTTTTTACTGAGCTTCGGGCTAAAATTAGTTTTCTCGCGGGATGCATACTTTTTTATAGTGTTCACGAAATAACCCTTTCATTTAAGCTACCTTTAGACGTTAGTCACAGTTACTACACACGCAATCCTTTACGGTCTAACTTCGTCTCGTTTATTTTACATTAACGATGGAAAAGAAAGGAGAATCAGAAAATGGATAAACAATATATTTCAATTTGAATTTCAAATTTGTAACTAGATGTTCTTAAAATGTTTAGTTAGAAAAATTCTATTTGAACGTAGACCTGAAAATGTTTTCTTTTTGGATTCGTTTTATTAGTTAATGTTGGGCCAATTAAAAAAAAATTCTTAGTCTTCCCAATTTAAATTTTTAGTTGCTTGAAACAGAATTCTCGAGGTGAAGAAAACATCAGGTATATAAATCTTGGGGTTTCAACGAATAATTCATTTATTTAATTTTCATGTACACTTAGAATGATCAAAAAATACATTGTGCATTCATTCAGGACAATATTAATTGTCTCTAATTGAAAACTAAATTATAATTCCAATGTACTTGATCCAGATCACTTTGATGTTTCTCAAACTTTTTCATTAATTTCGTAATTTATACAATACCATTGTACCTTGCATATCGAATATTTTATACATAGTTTCGCTTAAATTCTCTAAATACATTCAACAGGAGTCGTGAAAACAATAGATTGTAAAAAGTGAAGTAACATCGATGTAAAAATCAAAGACCACAATATTAAACTTTATTAAACATCTCGAGGGACATTAACACATACGTATACGTATACATTTATTTTTACGTAAAAATTACCGTTATTTACAATCGCAATATCTCTTAAAATTAACAAATATACAATATTAGTGTCTTAGCCGATAAAGATTGCTTTGATTCGTCGTATTCGATTAAAGCAAGCAAAAAATCCATTTAAAATTCGTCCCTCAAGAAGTCGAGAAAGTTTGGAAGTGGTGTTACTTGAAATAGTTTGTAAAATAAACGAGACCGTAAAGGGGTTAAAACGAGGCAAGTTTTGCATGAACCAACAGGCGCTGTTCTTACGTGTGTATTTTATCGGAGGATCCAGCTGCCACGGTTTAGTTTCTCGGCTTGTCCATACGGTGTGTGGTGTATGTGAGGCTAAAGATTTTTTGCGTACGTCCTCTGTCGCGTGTGCGTAAGTGTGATTACCGGTTTTCCAAACAGAGACGTCAAGCACAACACAACAGGCGAGTAACGACGGAAGGAAAAATAATGGAAAGATATACAAATTCCTCGACATAGTACAAAGCATATAAACTCCTCATTTTTCCAATAGCCTAGGGAGATATAATAAGTACGCATAACAGATGTCATTACGCGTATAACATAGGCATCTACCGAGTAGCCGGAGAGTCCGCGACGAAATTGGACAAAAAAAAAACCAGTCTTGTTTTCTTTTCTTTACAAATTGTAATCGCCTCGATTCCTCGAGTTTCTAGCTCGTGCTCGATAATATACAACGGATAAGCTTTGCAAAATTCTTCCCTTTGTACATGCGATTCGTTCTTTACGAGATAACGAACTTACGAAAAACACTTGATACTTGGCACACTTAGGGGTGTGCGGGATTCCCGAGAATATTCGGGATTCCCGAGAATATCCGGGATTCTCGAGTTTATGCGGGATCCCAAGTTGATTCAAGATTCCCGACAATACACGAGATCCCGCAAAAATCCGAGATTCCCGAGAATATTCGGGACTCTCGGATTTCGGGATGTACGGGATCTCGAAAATTTTCGGGAATCCCGAACATTTACGGGATCTCGAAATTCACGAGAATCCCGGATGTAATTGGAATATCGAACTGTTCGAATTTTCTTAAAATACTCGAATATTTTAGGCATTCAAGTATGTGGATATTCGTAGCATTTAAAGAATTTGAACAATTTAAGGCCACCATTTTTGTTTCAACTTTATTTTCATTCATATTTCAACTCACGCACAACATTTCTATTTCTATTTCTATAAACAAAAGAAACTCCCAACAAAAACAAAAGTAGCATAAATATTAAAAGAAAACATCTTTCATCAAAAAAATGATGTTCCAATAGTAATATTCGAAATTTATTCATAATAGCGAAATACTTACAAACTATCCTACTATCAACCCTCTGCGGTCCGTGTTTTTTTGACTTCGGTACATTTTTCTCGAGCCTCGTTCGACGTAGGACCGCAAAGCGTTGAATCGTTCAATTAGTTTCAGTCTCAGTTTGTAGCACGCTTAAGAAACTCGTTTGATTGTAAAAAAAATACATCTGAACAATCTATGAACGAGGATGCCAATGACATTTTCTTTAATTACACATCACAATTACTATTGTCATAGTAGTCCATCTGCCTACATATTAAAGATTAATGGATAGATCGTGTAACACGTCGTAACTCGTTCGAAAGAGTCCAGAGGATATATTATGAGGCTCTTTTTTTAATCTCTTTAGGGATGTTAAACATACCATTATTTACAATCGCCATACCTTTCGGAATTAAATCATACACCGCATTAAAGTGAGACAGTATATTTGTATGTTGAAATCGATTCATAAATAAAAATTGCTTTTCTATTTAGATTAGAACAAAGAAAAATCCATTTAAAACTCGTCCCTCAAGAGATTAAAACTGTGAACGCAATACTATTTAACAATTCGTAAGGGATGTATTCTTACAATTTTTTACGAGACTAAAAAGGCTGACGTTTTGTACATTATTCGAGATAGCATGGACTGATGAGGTATTTACATTTAATTCGATCCAGACAATGTCGAAGCACTTTGAAATATTTTATACGAACCGTAGACAGTTTTGCGATTAATTGTTCGAAACACGAGACTTTAATAGCGATACTTGAACCCCTTACGGCCCACAATATTGCCGTACGGGACTGATTACTCGTTAAATTTCGCGATTCGTGCACATTACGCTAAACTGCATATTACGAAGAAAGAAAACAGATGGATATTTACGCAACCGCAATTGTTAACTTCGAATTACGCATTAAAGTCGGTTTCGTAAACATACAAGCGTGTAAACATCATTGAAAATTGCCTAAACTAAAGATTGCGTTCCTGGTTGTGGATTTTCCGGACATCCGATAGATAATAATAATAATAAATGAAAAAAAAAAAAGAAAAAAATAGTCATACGCAAGCGCATTTTATTTAACGTACAGAAAGACAGATCTTTCGTTCGAAGTAATACCGTTTGTTTCATCTCTATTTCTTCCGCATCTAAGTGTTTGTACCGCAGTCTTCCAGGGTACAAAGTAAAAAAGAATAAAGTAAAAAATACCGGTCATTCGTCGTGGCGTGCAAATCAAAACACAAAAGGGAAAGAGAAAAAAGATGAATGAACAGTCGAGAAAAAAAGGGGGAAGAGACATATAGGAGGAACTACGGCAAAATAAAGCGAAACAAAGGAACAGAGAAAAAGAGAGAGAGAGAGAGGAATTAATAAGAAATAATTCTGTATAACTGTGCGATCCCTCTGATGATCTCAGTGTTTTATTTTTGTATAGAGTGCATAAAACATGTAATCTTCAGAAACGTAAGGCGAGAAAAGAGGCACGGTTTGAAAAACAGAACAAGACTTAAAGTAGTAAGCGAAAAAAAAAAAGAAAATGTATAAGGGAGATGTAGGTATAAATACAGACAGACGAATTTAGGCTGCGAGGATAGAGGTTTAAAGTTTGTGAACGTTTTTTCGGACATTTCCCAGTGCTGCTTTATGTAATACCCTATATAATATATATATATATATCTCTATATATATATATATATATATGAAAATTGTATGAAAAATCAAATCAGAAAATGATGTACTGGATGTTGTTATTTATAATTCCATCATTCTCCTTGTCTTGTTGGTAACAGTCATATAGTTTCAGTTTCAAACAATTTATAATTTTATATAATAATGATTTATTACTTTAATTGTGATTACTACAACCAATAACAAAACGTTTATTTCTTTTTAACCATATTTCATGTGTACAATTATGTACACTTTGGAAGCATTATATAATAAAGCCGATATATGGTCGGTTTTTCTTAATAAATATAAATAATGTACAAGGGAAAATGGACATAACAATGTTATACACTACCGCTCAGAAGTATTTGCCAGATGAAGTATATGGTGCGCTAGGGGAACGTAATTTAGAGGTTCTATCAGTGAATTTTCCTTAACTAACTTTACTCCTTTCTTTTCAAAATGAAATATTCTCGACAGACTTGGCGATCCATGCTAAGTCAACATTTTAAAAATTGAATATTTTAAATAGCAATACAAAATATAATATTAATAAAGTAAGTTAACATATTTATTCTCCAAATCTCCAAAATGTGGACTTAACACATAGCTTGTCTTTGAGGTACAGGAATGGAAGTGAAGAATCTTTAAATACTTTCCTTTGTTTAAGACTCTAACTACTTTTTATCAAATTTCTAACACCATAGCTTGTTATGATGATCTGTCGCTGATCAAACATTTAATTGTTTCTTAATAAAACATATGTATCATTTATCTACATATTTAAAAACATATTTTATCCTTAAATAATGTTGCTACTTGTGTTGCTGTTGATATATGTTAAAAATACTAGATGTGCAAATACTTATGAGCGATAATTATGTAAATGCGCATATAACATATATTCTTTAGTATATAATGACATTTAATATGTATTATATGTGCTCTTACACATATACACACATCAATAAAACGCATACATACATTGTCATATGAACATCATAAAATATAAATATTAAATTATCGATTAACATAACTTTATTTTCCTATTTATCGCTCTGTAGCAATTACGCGTTATTGCTGAACAGGTAAACATTGTTTCAACATCAAACATCAAGGAACACCGCAAAAAAAACTCAGTTTTAAGTATTTAATGTATTTCGCTTATTAAAACAAACCAAATGCGCGAATTCTCCAATGTTACATTTAATTTAAAATAAGACGAAATTGAATCATACTTAAAGCTATTGTTTCGAGAACTTCTTTTAAGAATTTTACTTTTACAAAGTATATATTTTGCAATGTTCCTCTCCTGTTAAAAATAAAAAGTATATCTCGCTGACTATGAACTATGCTTAACATTAATTTCATATTATTTTCTCATTTATGTGCAATTGTCATTATAATGCTGTTTTTTTAGGCACATGTTCCAAGAAGTTGATGCCATAAGTTTAGCAAAAAACAAAGTCACATATATTTATATCATTTTTACGTATCATGACCATATACGTCTAATAATAAATATACATTTTCGTCAAATATTTTCGGCATAACAAGAATTGTTCACATACTGCATCACAAATTATCTGCATCACTTTTTCTTACAGAAACAAAATACTTAAAAATTGTCGCGCATTTCTTCCAAAGAAGACTAGGTCAATTTGTAAATTATAAAACAGTACATATCTAATAGATGCGTCAATAGCTCTGAAGGTTACAAAGAAAATACTTCTTATTGCCATCATTCACGTCAGATATTATCAAATGTGTAATCTGAGAAAAAGAATTTAACAGAAATAGACTTCCTGCATTAATTTATATAAAAACTTGAATCATTCATATGAATATTTTTGAAATAATATTATACAAAGTATCTAGATATATATCATATATATATCATATTTTATATATATATATATTTCACATAATTGTTCTTAACAGGTACCTTCTTACTTTAAGAACATTGTGCATGTTATAGGCATATTAAAAAAGGAAAATATAAAATCTGCATGGGATTCTTTAGAGCCTGTTCCTTATTAATGCACTATTTGAAAGTTTCAAGTTTAATGTAATTGCAAAATTCAAAACTATCAACAACTATACCATATATCCTGAAAGTGTCTCCAATAAAGCTCGCTGTATCGATCTCTTAAATTTAAATTGCCTAAATTATAAAACGATCTTGGTTTAAGATCAAGGTAAAAATGTATTAAGTTCGCAAAATAGAAAATGGAGGTGGCCCAGTTTGCCTCATCATCATTGCAAAACTGCTCAATCCTTCCTCTCCGTTATTTTGACTATTCTGATTATTTTGAGAACTGTTTATATTTTTGTTTCTACTGCTATTATGACTTTGTAAGTGCTTCTTTAAGTGATCCTTCCTATAAAAGGCTTTGCCACATTCTGTACAAACTTGATTTTTGCTACCTGAGTGAATAATCATATGACGAGCAAGGTGTTCATTGCGTTTGAATGCTTTGCAACACATATTACACTGGTAAGGTCTATCCTTATTATGACCTTGTTTGTGACGATCTAAATGTTCCTTACGCTTTAAACTCGCACCACAAATATCACAGATGTGAGGTCGCTGTCTATGATCTTCAAGGTGCTCATGTAATGCTTCACGGTTTTCAAATCTGTACGCACATTCTGGACAATGATAGATTAGCATACCTTGAACATTTATAATAAGTATGTTAAGATGCAAACCAACATTAAGTAACACATATTCAATTTGAATTAAATTTTTATACAAGCACTTACCATTGATATATTGTGGTTCAACTTCAAATTCAATTTTTGGTCGAACTTCTTGACAATTATGCGTAGAATTATTGCCATTTTCCTCGTATTTAGTTACATATGGCAATCCCAGTGTACTAGAACATCGTGCTAAATACTCAGACGTGAGTCTAAAATCTATTTGTAAAGGATCTGTCATTGTTGCTGCATCTACTTTCTGAATAGTTTGTGTCCCAGAAGACTGATGGGATATCTGTGGACATGTTTCTTTGTTTCCACAACTGTTCTCGTTTCTATTCTCATCTGTTTGTTGGACATGTGATTGATGTCCAGAATATGCGTACCCAGTCACATTAGACTGGTTATGTTGATGGCTGTGAATCTCTGATGAATATTTAATATTACGTGGATCATAAGCCATTTTTTGGACAGTGACAAGTTATACTTTCTTAGCATCTGCCTATAAATACGAAATCATCACTGTAGAAACAATTAATTTTCAAAGCTTCAATAATAAAGCAAGAATTATTAATAAAATCACTGTCAGTGTAAAGATCAGTGATTTAATATATTCAATGAATTTCTTTTAAAGCTTTCATATTATAAAATAATTAATTTTTCAATTTTGTGTGTCAAGATTATCAGATAAATCTGAATAATACTGCACATAACAACTCAAGTATGTTGGTACATTCATAAGAATGTGTATGTTAAATAAATGTAAATTATGTTGTAAATTCAATGCGAATGTGAGATTTTATTGAGCAAGGTCAGGGCAGGTGTCTGCATACCGTTGAATACGCATTGTAATTTGTAACACTCGCTGAAGGTATCGTCGTAATTGAGAACAAAAATATTTATTTAACGATATCAGTTACATGATCGTATTTACTCACCCCTTGCATGCAGAGCTAGTTGTAAAACCAGCACATCGTTGGTCACTATTTATTTGTATTGAGCTTGGCCATCTTTACATACATCAGCTGCTGTGCAAATTCCGAATCTTTCCTCTGCAAGACTGTTCGTTCCACAAAACTGTATTCCTCCGAGACGTGTCAATAGTTAGCTCGTTTACGACCCATCCTACCGTGTACTTAAATAACACGACCGATCTCTTAATCGCGATCAAAGCACTTTTCAGTACGGTTCCATTTCGAAATGCGCAACGATACGATAATTACAATAGAAAACGTATACCGCATTTAAAAGAGGCGGCTATTTAAGGGGTTCGACAAAGAAATACGATTCGTCGCAAGTTCACGACACCCTATGTTGGGTTCTAACTAACAAACAGTAACTATTTCGTTTAAATTGTAGAAATTAATTCTGTGCTTTTACATTCAGTCGTCTATTATTTGATAATTATTATTTTTTTTTCGTGACTCTAATTTAAATAGAAATATTTGCCCGCCATTTTGTTACATTAAAGTACCAACATAGTAATAAATCACACAGATTGTTTTGAAAATTGGTTTTACAATTGTTTGTACTCTTTTTGAATGCGTGACTGAAGAAAATTTAAATGTTACGTGGTTCTTTTTTATAAATAAATGGTAAGTTTACCTTGGAAAGTTAAAGAATTAATTTCTGCTAACAATTGCGTGTATGTTGTAAATCTTGGACAGTATTCTTTCGATCTTTTTTGGATCATAGCTGATCCTAACTTAGACTTGATGTTGGTATGTAATTAAATAGATAACTGCAGTTGTACAGTAATGCACATGTGTATCAACGCAAGGGCTGAACTTTACTTCTGGACACTAAAAATTATTGACTTTTTTTTATACCATTTAGTAGATTAATCTACTATCAAAATTTTGATAGCCTAGATCAGAAAAAATGGAAGTTGTGGAAATGTTAAGAATCCAACGGTTTCAAAGTTGTGAGTATTCAAAGTTGAGCATTTTTGAGGTATTTAACTGGTTATTGCGACTGGAAGTATAAATAAAGAGAAATACTACTGCTTTGCTGGCGGAGCATTTTGAACATTAATTAAAATTCTAATTAGGGCTACTGAAAAGCTCAAATATTCGAGCTGCTCGCGAACCGAGCTGAGGCTCGATTTTTCGAGCTGATCCGAATAATCGAAACAAACAAACCGCTCGGTTCGAAAGCGAGTCGTTTGGTTTGAAATCGACCAGCTCTGAACTCTAAAGAAGCGAACGGCTTGAATAAACCGAGCAACCTGAACAAAAGGAACAGTTCGAAAACAGAGCGAACCAATATGTTCGGTTTCAAGGTGTATACAGGGTGTCCCAAAAATGTTGTAACACATTGAAAGGAGAGGTTTGGGAGGTGATTTGAAACAACTTTTTCCTTAGCGAAAATGTTGTCCGAGGCTTCGTTGAGGAGATATTAACGGAAAACACTGATCAATCAGAGCGCGCGGATACGTTGGGACGATTAGGTGTCCGCGTTCATACGCTACCGCAAGCGCTCCATCGGTATCCGCGCGCTCTGATTGGTCGGGGTTTTCTGTTAATATATCTCCTCAACGAAGCCTCGGACAACATTTTCGCTAAGGAAAAAGTTATTTCAAATCACCTCCCGAACCACCCCTTTCAAGGTGTTACGACATTTTTGGGACACCCTGTATATTCCCAATGAGAAATACGGAAAATACACTTTAACCTTTAGACTCTAAAGTTTAGAGGAACGTTTAGCGAATAAAATAATAAAATTATGATGCGTATTAGGCGCGACAAGAAAAACCAATTTTAAAAACGCAGCCTTGTCATTCTTTGTAATAAACCTGCAATACACTTTATTATGCTAACCAATTAATCTTAAGTAATGAATGGGATGCATTGTTCCCGGAGGAATCAGCAGTATCATAGTTGTTAAAAATTATAGTTTGTTATTCATAATATTCATTGCATTCATATTTTGCTATATACATATAAGAGCATCAAATGGTATCTAGCAGTGGCGGCTGAACTAATTTTTCACATATATTCATATTCCTTATTTCTTTCTGTATATTCATATTAATAATAATAAATCGCAATACATAATTTTACATCGTAATTATCATAATTGAACGTCTAATTGTTGATTTATATATTAATAATTGATGTTAAGTTTTTAAATAAATAAGAATACCGAAAAATAGGGCGCTATCTCTCGGCAAACGGCCTAAGTTTATCGTGAAATAGTTTGAACCTTGTGCCGCTAGATGACATTACAAACATGAAAAAAAGTTAAAACACAAATTCTCTACTTTCCTCTGCATATAAATGTAATTTTGCATTCTAACTACCATAATTTAACTAATATATGTCGATTGGTACATTAATAAATGTTTAATGCCTAGTTTTTTAAATAAATAAAAATACTGAAAATGGGGCGCTATCTAATGACGCGAAGTGCGAACTATTTCACGACAAACTTGGGCGGTTTGCTTAGAGATGGCGCCACATTCTTCTGTATTTTTATTTATTTAAAAAACTAGGCATTAAACATTTATTAGTGTACCAATCGACATATATTAGTTAAATTATGGTAGTTAAAATGCAAAATTACATTTATATGCAGAGGAAAGTAGAGAATTTGTGTTTTAACTTTTTTTCATGTTTGTAATGTCATCTAGCGGCACAAGGTTCAAACTATTTCACGATAAACTTAGGCCGTTTGCCGAGAGATGGCGCCCTATTTTTCGGTATTCTTATTTATTTAAAAACTTAACATCAATTATTAATATATAAATCAACAATTAGACGTTCATTTATGGTAATTACGATGTAAAATTATATGAATATGTAAAGAAAAGAAAAAAAATGTGACTATATGTGAAAAATTATTTCGGTCGCCGCCGCTAGTTGACGATAACATTTTTGTATCAACTGGCGTTCATGCTTTTATAATATAGCCACAGCCTACAGAGTCGGTTTTTATATAGTAAAATATGAATGCAATGAATGTTATGAATAATAATCTATCATTTTTAGCAATTATGGTACTGCTTATTCCTCCGAGGCAATTATGCATCCGATTCTTGGTTAACATAATGTTTCGATATAGTCGAGTCAAAAAGAAATACTTTGGATGCAAAGGGTTCAATAAATAATATTACTCGCATTCGCTGTGTTAAACTTAAAAATGCTCCCGTCCGCAAATGGTTAAACAACTGGGTAACCATAGCGTTCATCTAGCAGATACTGCCTTAAATATGGAGCTGTTAAATTAGTTGTCATTACTGTACCATTATTTTAACAGTTTGTTAAACTAATTATGAAACAATTAGTTATCGAGTCATTGCAAACTGTCCGACAAATACTAACCTAATTAAATAAATACCATTAAGGAATATCGCTCGTCGAAAGTTTTAGTTCTCATCTATAATATCAAACTTTATTTTTTTATGAAAGTCATTGACAGGATTTAAGAGTCTCTGAAAGGTCAATGATCCTTCTCTGAGAGGCCTTGATAATATTAGACTTTTGCGAAAGCATCGACGTGAGAACTCTTTAAAAATGGAACATTTAAAAAGGAAAGAAGCTAATTTATGTTCGGAAATAAACTTTGTGGAGAAAAATGAAGTGGAGAGGAGTATCGAATACAATCGTACAGAGGTTAACGTATTCATAGTGAACCAGATATTTGTATATTTAAACTTATGTACAAGGGGTTGTATTATAATAAACCAACGATTTTCTATATACGTATATGTCTATAAGAACTCGTGTAACATCGGAACAATATATTTGTTGTGTGGCTGTTCGGTTCGGCCACGTTTAACAAAATGTATGCATTATGAACTCGCTATTTCATCGAGTGATGAGTGGAGAGGGGGGGGGGAGGAGGTGTACAAGGTAAACAATTTGTTTATAAAGGAAATGGTGGGGGAGATCTGAAAAACAAATTAATTTTTTTTTAACGAAGCCTTATATATTAGGCGTAGAAATGAATTCTGTACCTTTATATTCAATCACAATTACAAGCGCGCTCGATAGTTACAGTGATTGTAGAAAAGTAGCAATAAGTAAAATTGAATGGCAACTAAAGTTCGTCTGGATGCATTGCAATGACCAGCAGATTGAGAACTTAGGTTTGTATCTTAATTTACCAAAATGAGGACTAAATACAGGGTGTCCCAAAAATGTCGTAACACCTTGAAAGGGGTGGTTCGGGAGGTGATTTGAAACAACTTTTTCCTTAGCGAAAATGTTGTCCGAGGCTTCGTTGAGGAGATATATTAACAGAAAACCCCGACCAATTAGAGCGCGCGGATACCGATGGAGCGCTTGCGGTAGCATATAAACGCGGACACCTAATCGCTCCAACGGTATCCGCGCGCTCTGATTGGTCGGGGTTTTCTGTTAATATCTCCTTAACGAAACCTCGGACAACATTTTCGCTAAGGAAAAAGATGTTTCAAATCACCTCCCGAACCACCTCTTTCAATGTGTTACAACATTTTTGGGACACCCTGTATATCTGTTTAAACTAAAGTTATGAATAAATGAATATAGAGGCACAGTATCAATGTCTACCCCTAATATTTTTATCCATAATAAAATAGCATTTGTATAGACAAACTCATCGAAGGTTTTATCTATCTTATCATGAAACAAAAATATACAAGTTTTCACATAAAAAAATTAATTTGCTTTGTACATGCAAGCGTGTATCCAATTCGAAAAGATCGACTGAACATTCGAATATTTCTCGTCGAACTGCAATCGTGTAATGTAAAATACAATCAAACGCATTTTGACAGGAAATAGTTATCGTAAATCGATGGAATGATAAGAAGGATAAAATAACGACGATGAAATAGACAATTGAATTGATTTATCGGAGAAAACGTTTTCGTAATCGTTGGAACGAAGATAACGTGTATTTCGTGAAGTATTGAAGTCTCGAAACCGGTGAAAAATCATTGATAATGATTATACATTAGGATAAAAAAAATGGTATTTGGTGCGAACGTGTCCATTCAGCACGAGCTTTAACGAGTGATATTGGTAAATTAGTTTTCGGGCGCTCGAGAATATGAATCTTCGTTATCGCTTAACAAAGTACGTAGCATATAGGAATATATCTGAGTGTTCAGTATGTGATTTCGAATAGGGTTGCCACCTCTTTCCTCTAAATTTCGTCTGGACACTTCGTATCTTACAGATGAAGTTTTCGACGTCTGATCCTAAATAAATTCAAGCTATCGCACAAACAAATGGAGTGAATACATTATAAAAGGTGATAATATAAACGCTACACATATAGACAGATAGTTCGCTGCACTCTATTACCAGTCTTACGATTCTTTTACAAGTAATCTCTGGCCTTGCTAATACGAAAAGCTGACAACCCTAATCGCGATATGATCGAATCCCCCGACTCGATTCGTCATTCGTCGCAGCACGGAAACGAACAACTTGTTACATCGTCCTTATCGGTAGAGAAATAAAGAATATCTTAAGAAGTACTTAGACGTTGAGCAAATATATTGAATTAAATTAGTCAAGGTCTGCTACGATACAGGCAACGAATAAAGGAACATAATAACTGTCGACAAACTGCAATTTGCCGATAGAGAAATATTAAGCGTTGAAATTAATTCTGTGGATTTATATTCAATCATTTGTAACGTTAGTCTGAGTAAAAATATTCAATTGTCATTTTGTTCTTGTATGTTAAATTAATAAATTTCTGTACCTGGTCTCCATTACAATGAATATATGTACATGTATAAATACATTGTAATGGGCATCAAGTTCCTATAAAAGATTCCTATTTTAATGTACTATAATTAGTAAATATATCTGTTTAAACTAGAGTTATATATAACTATTGTATATAGAGAGACACAGAATTAATTTCTACGCTTAATAAATTAAACAAATAGAAGAACTTGTATAAATAAAGTTCTCTAAATCCGAATAGGCAAAACATTTTGAAATTTTCCATCCACTAAACTTTTGAACAACGAATAAAAGGTAAGAAAACGTTCGTCTGTTATTATTCGAGTACACAAGTTGTTGATAAAGTGTTAAGAGCTCTTTTCTTAGAAACTAATGAAGATATCGAATTCATTTTCACTGTGGTTACATGGCACAGAAGATGATATTAATTATATGTTATTTGGATAGCCTCGGTGAAACTGAATTTGATATCCTGACAATTGCTTTTGTAAAATTAAATTTGATATCTTGATAACTGGTTTCTAAAAATAAAGTCGATGTCTTCATAAGTTTCTAAGAAAACAGCTTGTAATACTTCGTACTAGACTGTATACTTATTTGAATAACGAGTGAACATTCATTCGCTCATCTGCAAATTTTTATTCGAATGAAATCTTATTCATCGTTGACGAATAAAGACTTATTTCTCGTTCATAGATATTATTCGTTAACTCAATAAAATTGTGCCTGACGCTGCTTTATGAGTATTGTTAGACTCGTTCTATTCTTTACACGGCTCGTTGATTACGATTACACACAGAGAACAAAGCGATACGACGACGGTTTCTGTAATTACTACTGGGAAAATCGGTGGCTTAAAATTAACAAAGCATCGCTGTAACACCCTCATCGATTCTGTGCTCTTCGATCTTCTAATCATTGACATACAAAAAGTGAAATTACAATTAATGCTTGTGAGTGAAAAAAATCAAATTAAATACATAATTAATCGGTACAGGCATTATTATTAGGAATAATATAAGTTTCGCCATCTGATTTAAATCTTCACATAAAAATTCGTGATTCAAAGTAATCGTACAAAGTTTAAATAAAATTGAATATTAACTGAAATATACATGATTGAAGTTGAAAGCACTTCCGTATAAAAATGTCGACAATGTATGTATGATAAACCAATGCAGTCTCGTTTGAACATATAGAAATAAGAATTCAATTAAGTTTGTATACAGAAGAAGACCTAAATCTAAAGGCGACGCGTTTATCATTCTAATTATTAATACCTGTACCGACTATCTGTATATATAATATAAAAAAAGAATCTGTTTATCCTTTGTACACAGTACATTATACGCAATTCCAGATTCCAGTAAGTTTACGTACAACTCGTATCACAGGTTACTTGCAAACTCGTGTTATCTGTATCTGAACATAACAATTTTAGTATAGGATTACGCATCACGTAAATTTTCTTAATTCGGATACGCCTTTGCCACTCTTACCAATGTTTATTCACGTACAAATTCTTTCCTTTGAACTAGAACATGACATTAAAGACGAAAAAGAAATGATCATGTACTGTACAAGTATTTAAATACGGTGCTTACTATGAAAATTACAAAAAAAAAAAAAAAAAAAAAAAAAAATGAAAACAAAAAATTTGAATGCAATGGTATGTATTATAAAACGAAATCGTAGAATTGAATTTTGGTTCGTGTAATTCCGTACATATAATGAATGACTTATTGTTAACGTATTACGAATGAATTTAATATAATACAATATGAAAGGGCACATCGCACAATGAAGAATTGTACATATATCGCGTGTATCGTTTCGAATGCATTTTAAGAGGAAAAGTTTCAAGTAAATAAACACAATGTTATTGATGAATGAATTCGCATTGAACATCTGGCTTTTTCTTACAGCTTCCTAAAAGGGACACGCAATTGCCTCGAATAAATAAAAGTAGTGCGTAGGAAAGAAAACTTCTAAATGATATTTTTCGTCCATTTTACACACCTGTACATTGGTAACAACGGTGTTATCGAAGTTCCTTTTATCAGTATTGATATTAATATCGTCGAAGTTTGGATTATCTAATACAATTTCAATACGCATTGTTAAAACTTAATGGACGAGATATTCTTTTCTTGTTTATATTAATAATTCGGAAATAAACTCGAGTATAATTACACTTTCATTAATACGAAAGTAACAAATTTTTAACACAGTCAAATACAGATTCAATATTGTAAATTACAAAAGTTTACGTAAACTCGTCGTCCTATAAGTGTTAACAGAACAATCAAAACGGAGTACACCATTTTCTACTTATGTGAAGTTTAAACATGTCGCAATCGTATTTTCTAACGCTTTCTAAACACGCTAATCAGTATTTTGCGTACATACTTCGGTTTCCTCCGTGTACTTACATGTCTTTCTCGCGATTATAGTATTATCGATTTCTGCATGTTAACGACGTAAATACATTGCATAAGAAAATTCATCAAAAGCGAAACTATCATAATAAAATTATAGATAATTCGAATGTTCTCCATCTTACCAACTACAATCGAATGTATACAATTACAAATTAGTACATGGAAAATTTTTTTCTAAAAAGTCAAGAAATTTGAAACATTAAATTGTAACTCAGTGATTTTAGGTATACACTGACACAATTTCGTTCTTTTAATAAAAAGAGAAAAGAATGCTGGCAAATAAATTTGCTCACATTATAATTTGAATGATTTATCAAACATTCTGTTTCTAGAAATAAAGAATCTAATGGTGCCAACAGTGAAAGCTCATTTCAATTTCAATTTAAAAAAAAACAATCTACAATGCCATTGCGATGAGTAGAACGCTCGAATAGAACAAAAAGACAAATTATAAATTTGTTGGGCAAAGAAAGGCCTTCTTAAATTATTCGAAATAAATGTGACATCGTAATTCCATTTATTCGGGTGATAGTTATCTGTCACGTATGTGTTTGTATATCTACGATTAGGATCCATACGCGCAGTTCTCGAAGGACGATCGAAATTATGACAAAATATGTAATGGATACGCAAACAAAGAAATTAAGGAAGAAACATACATAATACGATTTCACAGTACACTTATTTTCGTTCACTGGTAAATGATATAGACAGCACGTGTGCCTTACATAGACGCTATAGTATCAATAATATTAATAATAGTAATCGCGATATAACAATAATAACACAATCGTAATGATCACGATAAAATAATACAGATAGTAATATATATATATACACCATGCGTAATACATTGTCGTTGTGAAGTTACAAGATACAATGGTAAAATAAACATAGACGCGGCCCTTTGTGTTTGATTTCAAAGATTCCACGCGACGCATGATCTCGGGGACAAACACGGAGCTACGCTTCATTTGAACACCTTATTCTTTGGGACGTACTGAGACCGAAGGCTGAATTATACGGCATTTACGCAAACATTATTTAGAACGGTTCGCTTACTGTTAACATATTGATACAGTCGTTTATTATTCTCACCTCCTTTTCTCTTTTTTTCATTCATCTGTTCATCGAATCCGGATTTGATAAAAAATAAACCTTTTCATTACCTTTCGTAATCACATCTTCAAGGGAACACGTGTCTCGCAACTTGTGATAAAAACCTAATAACGATTGAAATTTTCCTTACACACGATCATAGTGTTCGAAAGCATGTTTAGCGTGTGACGATGACTTCGGTAAACTTCATAAGTTACGTTTTAATCCGTACTTCTACTTATTAACATTTATATAGTTCGGAGGTTTCTTCTCATATCTTCATGATCGCGACGAATACTGTTGAAGACATGTCGAGTTTAGACGGTGTTATACATTGTAGCGTCGTTACGGGTGCAATATTAAACAGCAAACAGAAACGTTACTCCGCATGCTATTCGCGAATGTACAGACGTATAGCTGAAAGTGCGTTTTACAATAACGACGCTGAGTAGTTCATTCTTCCGTTTCAACGAATTCGCCGTTTAATTACTATTCCCCACGCTTTAAACTCACGGAATTCGTGTACACAACGTTTTATTGTCAATCCAATGAAATCTGCCATTACATTTTTGCCTTTATACATTGCTAATTTACGTTTAGCGATAAGTGTACAACCAGCTACGCGTATATTAAGTGTTGTTATTTTAGAATTCGATATTGCAAGGCAATAATGAATATATTTTTGTTTGTTTTTTTTTTTTTACCTTTTTACAAAAGTTTATCGATCACTGCGGATAAACCGGAATGCCGAAAATGGCGCACGGTCCAATATAAATTTTTACATTCAAATGATATACAGTAACATTTCAGTTGTTTTACGGATGTGATCGAATGCATCGTACGCGAAGTGAAGAACGAAAAGGCCACATCGAGAACCGATTACTTATGATGAAAAATGCTTTGTCGATTTTTTGTTTATGATTAATAATATATATATGCCTCTATGAACATTTGGATATTCGTATGCTTCCTCTAATTCCATCTAAATATTTTTCTGTTCTCATTTCACAGCAGTTATGATATGCTAAATAGTATTAAAAGTAAGCATTATACGTAATTGCAGTTCTCGCAGATATTCTTTATAGCCTTAATTAGTGCGGATCTCGAAATCTCGACAGTTTATTACGATTGTATGAATTTTAACATATCATATACCTTCCAGTTCCTGATTTCGTATCAAGATTCGTGAAGTCGTTGTGCCCGAAAATATGCTATTCCAACTGAACAAATGGAAATGAATGCGTTCCGCGTACCCAAGGTTCTACAACTTGCCAGACTTTTCTTTCTTACTCAGTTCAAGTGCTAAAGCTAATTCCGCGTCTTCCTTCTGCTTGCGTCTGCGTCTTTCTTCCTCGAACTTCATGCTCTCTTTGGATGCCCAGAGAAATTGTTCCTCTTCGGTCAACGCCAACGGCGGATTGTTACCGTTCCAAATTTTACCGAGGTCGGCTTTCGATTTTTTATCATTGAAACTAGCTTTAGATTTACTCAGTCCTAAATCTAGTCCCTGTCTTCTAGCAGACTTTTCGCTCTTTGTTGAAAATGCTTCGTCTATGTCGACTGTTTTTGTCTTGGTGTTGGGAAAGGCATCGGACTCGATTACCTTTATATTTCTGTTGTCGTCGGAGAACGCTTTCACAAAGTCAGCGTCGAATTTAGCATTGTCCTTTTCGATTTTATTCTTAGCAAGCGGGAACGTGTTGGAGAAATCAGTTTCGAAGGCTTTTGTGAAAGAATTCTTACGAGAAAGTACCGAGGAAGTTCCATAACTGAACGGATCCATCTTACCCATTTCGTTATTCTTGTTCGCGTTGAAATCTTCAGCGTCGTCAGCGAATGGATCCGCTATGTTAAATGGATCCACGTATCGGTAATCCCTAAATGGATCTTCCGTGAAGTCGGGCAGCTTTGGAGTTACCATCGATACCGTGTGTGCTCTGCTCGTTGGTCTGGGTGGTGTTGTTCGATTCAGTGTTGGTTCCGGCTGAAGCAGGGTTTTTGCAACTGGTAAATTTTCGTTTACTGAAATTGTAGAAACAATAGCGCAAGAATCGCTGGTTATCATCAGGCTGCTGGACCATACATAAGCTGCTGTTGAAACATTATCGAGTTGCAAATACTTCAATTTTAAAATGTTCGAGTCAATTCACACCGATCTCATATAATTATCGAATAATAAAATATCGCATAATTATGCAACACACGATCGGCGTAACTCTAACATTTTATTTCGAATATGAATAATTAAATAATTAAATAATTGCCATGCATTATCAAAAAATGAAAATATAATACTGTAACAAAGATAGAACAAATTAATTTGTAGACAGCATGCTCCAGGAGCCAGGACAATGAATAAACTGAAAATTGTGCAGCTTCTACCTAAATATAAAACAAAAAATATAATTAATCCTTGTTTTATATAAATGTATTTTACCAAATAATAATGTAATATATTGGAGTGACGCTTGATAACATTAAATACCTTTCAGATTTCGATATATTAATATATTTAAGTGCATTAGCATTTAAATTAGTAATATCTTGGTTAGAATAATATTTCCGTCATACCAATATATTTAATTCCTCGTTAAAACTAGCTGTATTTGAAATATACATAATGATATATAACGTACTGGAGAAAGGCAAAACTGGGGAAGGATGGGATATGACCAGGATGATATGTGAGAGCACTTAAAAAAAAAAGAAAATTATTTATGTACGAATAAATAATTATGCATTATAATTAGTAATACTGAACGAATATTTCTTCTACTTGCTAATAAAATAAAAGCATATTCTAAAAGTTAATTAAAACTAAGTAACGCATACCTTGGAGTCAAAATTTGCAAAATCGGCGAATCCAGTAGATGAAGTGAAACCACTGTTGTTATTATCGATAATTCCTTGTTGAGCAGAAAAAGGATCGGAATTAGCATTCGCGAAAGGGTCTGGAGTAGGGGAAGGAGTAGGTGGTGCTGGTGCTGCTCTTAAAGGACCGGTAGGTCCTTGAGAAGGCCGTGGAGGTGCTGGTCGTGGTGGAGGTTGTTTTGCTTTTTTAGGAGGAAGGGCAGGACTAGGACTTTCTGGACGAGGTGGGGCATGAAGATTCGCAAATGGATCATCACCAAATGGATCCTTTGTTGCCTAAAAAAGAAACAAATAAATTGATTAACAGTTATGTCCTATAATGTAATTAATCATTATTATTCTGATACTTTTAGAACTTACTAAAAATCATTTTAGTTGTAAAATTTTTAGTCTTAAAACTAAAATGATTGTTAATAATTTCATATAAGTTACCGTTCCAATTATTATTTCAGAACTTACTGTTGTTGCAGTTGTGGGTTTAATCTCAGGTTTCTTTCCATCTCCAAATGGATCAAATGGATCCTGCTTTATAACATTACTATTATCAAATGCATTAAATGGATCAGATGTGAATCCACCCTGCAATGACAAACAAAATTATATTATTAGATTATGATTAGATTCAATGCATAATAGTTGCTTAAATTGAAGAAAAGAACTTACTGTAGTAGATTGCGACGGAAATGCACTTCCAAATGGATCTGGTGTTGATGCACTAAATGCTTCTTGGGCTTTATTCGAAGCAAAAGGATCTTGTTCAAAACCATCCATAGTTGCCGTTCCGTTTGCATTAGAGAATGAATCTGCTTTCTGTTCTTTTGTTTCATCCACATTGTTTGTCGTTGTTTCATACCTACACAGATTTCGATAAAATAGCGTTAAAATATTTAATAATATTCTTATTGTAAATTTAGATTAGCTAGTCTAATACGCACTCTAAATCTTCAATTTCAGGATTAAATTGCAGACTAGTATCAGGTACAAGAGTGGCATCCCCTGCAGCAAGTGCAGAGTCGTAAAGTGCGATTGCATCGCTCATTTGACGTTGCTGTTCTTGTAAATGAGTGATTTTTGCTTTCGCTTGACTAATTTGCAACTGAGTATCTTGCAAATTTTTAGTAAGTTCATTTAATTGGTCCCTGCTTTTGTTTTGCTGCTGTTCTAACTGCTGCTCCTCTTGTCTCAAGCCTTCCAATTCTTGTCGTTTAAAGTTCAGTTCGTCTTCTTGAGTGCGCAACACGGACTCTTGCTCTTCTGCTTGTTGTCGTAGTTTATCAACCTATTGTTAGTAATTATGAAGTATTATTTATAAATAAAAATATAATAAATATTATTTTGATACATGATATATATATAACTTAATAAATTAGATTTAGTATACATGAATATTAAAGTATCACTCTTTATATAAACTATAACAAAATATCATACATAGCTGTATAAATTTAAGACCCAAATCTAACTTATGTAATTGTTAATTAATGGTAGTTCCAATTAATAAAAGTTGACAGAATAATTTTATGAAATCGAAATATAATTTGAATATTGTCGCTAGAATAGGGCCTTAAATAAAAATTGTCAAGCAGATATAATTTCTCTGATAGCAATCTATACTACAATTATTTTACCATGCATTGCAACAAAGCACTAGCATTATCTATACAAGTCTAACAGACACAAATAAAGCTCTTTATGAAATAACATGTAGTGTATTAATATTGAATCATTTATTTATAAATCCATATATGCATATACACACACATCAATGGAGTTAAATGGTATTTGATTTTCATGACAATTTTATTTATTTTATATGTATCTAAAGAATAAAATAAAACGAATCTCTGTCTTTCTATCCTTACGTTTTTATTTCGCAAGAAATTGTCTTTGTCTTGTATGTTATTCTATGATTATAGGGAATTAAAATCTTTTGCATAAATCGTAAGTAATTGTACTTTCTATTGCACAGAGACAAGAAATGACATCTGTACATTACCATCATGTCTGTCCTTTATTAAAATAGAAATTTGTTATGTACCTTTTTTTGTTCCTCAAGAATCTTCTGCTCGACCTCACTCAAATCTTTATCTACTTCAGCCTTCTACAAGCCAAACATAATAAAACTAAATCATAATGAAAAAAAAACTGAATGTAACATAAAATAAATTAAAAAATAAATTTATAAACATTCAAATATTGAAAAATAAAATTTCGATAATATAAAAAAAATAAGTAATGAGCGATAAAGTCATGAATACATATATGCCACCAGATAATATACATTCATTTTTACTTTCCTGGTTATAACGCACTACATGATATAAAAAGTTCAATTCATTAGCCCATTACATTCTTATTAAAATAACCGAAAATACTGTATAATTTATATGTAACAAAACAAGTAAAAACTGTAGAGTGCTACTAAAACAAAGCACTGAAAGTCCATTTTTATAAATATAAAATGAATTAATTTTAATTTAAATTTCATGTGCCAGGAGATTTGTATTGTGTTCTGGGTAAATGTTCCCTGGCATGCACTAAATAGCAAGAAACACATGCATGCGCATGTGTACACGCACTCGTTCACATGTAAGGGAAAAAGTGCATAAAATAATACAAAAAATATGTTAAATACATTTATACGTAAGGGCACACTTCCGAGTAACTTTTTCTATTAACTCAACGGTTGCTCACTGCTTATTAAAAAGTTATTAACAAAAAAAGTTGGTAAGTTAGGTCAGGTTATACATACGAACATGCTATACATAGCATGTAAAAACAAACCCCTTGCCGGACCCTGGGGACTCCGCCCCCTCGACCCCCACGAAACTATGAACACCCCTCAGGTTAACCGTGTACACACCTGCGTGGTGCACTGCAGTGCTCGTTGGTGGGGGCTTCGCCCCCACACTCCCAAACCGGGGGCAAGCCCCCGGACCACCCTTTTTTTACTGCACGATTAAAAATCGTGGTATAGGTTATATATATGTATAGTTAAGTTATTAGAAAAAGTTACTCAAGGAAGGTGTCCTTGACAACATATGTTAAGGTCAAGGTCATAGGGGCGGGGTCCCCTATTCGGCATTTTTACCATTATCTGAAATTAACTTAGCATAGTGCTTTCATAAAAACATAAAAAATTTATTCTATAACAGTAAAACGAATAAATAGCGAGGAAGACAACGGAAGAGGAGGGTAGGGGTAGCAAAGGTGGATCAAAGAAGAAGTTAAGAATGGAAGAGGAAAAAAGAAAGAAAGGATGGTGGAGTTGCTGAGTTGCGGCGATAAGCTAGGAAAGGAGAAAGATAAAGAAGGGAGGAGGTAGACCTCCTTAGATGAAGACAATAAACACATACAACAACTGCAGAACAGACATAAAATACTTATTAACATAATATATTATCATATTAAACAAGATATTTTGTGATAAACCTTGCATTAAATAAGCTTGCTAAGTAATAAATAGATATAGAAAAACACAACAGAACTCTTTTTCATTACTTTATACTCTGCATAAATATACTCAGTATGATTTCTTGCACTTTTAACTTCTTCACTTGAGATTTCATTAAATCTCTTAATTTCTAAATTATTGAAAATGATGTAACTTGATACATTTAATTATTTTCATATATTAATGAAAGCACTACACACACATATTTTAGGTACACGTTTTCCTATGGTTGAATAAAAGCAAAGCTTCACATTTAGCAAGCAAATTACTTAACTAAAGTAAGTAGTTAAAATTTGTTTTACCTGAGCCTTCAAGTCATTCAATCGCTTTTGTGCTTCACCCTTCTGATTTTCGAGTTGTTTTAAAGTAGCAGCAAGCGTGTCTAATTCACTCTGCAAGCTTTTAATTTCACCGCGTTTTATCTTGATATCAGCTTCCTTTTGCGCTATGTCTTGTTCCATGCTTTGCCTTTCTCTCACAAGTTCAGCTATGTCTTTACTTATCATATCTAATTCTGGGTTTGAATAGCCAGATATATTGTTATTTTCCTAAACATAAAAGTAAGTTTTATATAAAAAAGAACATTTATTAGTAAAATATACATTGTATCTTTTCTTTTTTTATCCAAATATTTAAAATTTATAAATACAATGTGGTATAAATCTTGTCTTATAATTCATATTCATAAAATAAAACAGTATTGTAATTCAAGAAGCAAGCAATTAAATACCATATATAAAAATTATAATCATGCAATTTTTGAATATTGTATTATTTTCGATACTATATTAATCTATAGCAATAAACGCATTATCATTCAGTGTATTTATGATAAATTCTTTTATATATTGACGCCGGGTTTTGGGCTTAATTTTTCCAGAACCATCTGCATCATATAATGATTTTGATCTTGCTATTTTTGCTTCTTTTTGTAATTTTTTAACAAATACAACATTCTGTGCTTTCATTCTTTTCAAAGCAGCTGCTGGAGTGTCATAATTTATTGCACAAGGCACAATTTTTACAAAATCTTGAATACCTAAATTATGATTTTTCTCTTTACTTAAAGAACATATATTTGACATTTCATTTAAATTGCATTTACAATTCTCTGGCATGATGACTTCATTTGAGTATTATTTGTTTTTCATCAATTGCGATAAAAGAAATGAAAAGCTTAAAATTACATTTCAAACTTCATGACACTACAATTGTATGAAACAAGCTTACAGCAGCTTAGCTTACATATATTATGCAGTTAAAACAGATATTATTTGTATATTTCTTAATTAATGTAACACTGAATTTTCCATTAGGAATAAATTTATTTAAAAAATATGGCGAACTTCGTAAAAAAGTAAGCAAAATGCTTAATAAACAAAAAGGTAAATACAATACACTGACATAATGATACTACAGCATTTTATAGTAAATAGATAATTTGATAAAATTTTATATATATCAAGGGAGTGACTTTCTTTTCAATATCAATGAATTTGAATACCCAAGAGCAAATGTAACACTTAGGGAAATACATTATCAGTTATGGCAGGAATATTATAAATGTTTAAAAGAAACATATAGTGAAATTGGGTCAGATAAAACAATGCAACCAATTGCGCTCATAGCTCTAGAAGGAACATTAGTCAAGTACAATTAAGAAATTGTTACTTTTGTTATAATCATACAATATTCTATTATCAAACTATAAATTTCAGGTTAAAGTGTCAAATATGCATCTCTCCAATAGAAATACATACAATTGAGAATGTAGAATGGTACGTTAGTGGAAACAGTTCTATGGTTGCCAATAATGAAACCAGTAAACTCATTGAAGAATCAGACAATATTTTAATTTCCCCTAATGACAAGATATTAATGATATATACTATTAAAGTATAAATTTTGTTTAAATGAATAAACATACAAAAGTTAAACTTATCTAATGATATGATATAACACTTTTCACAGTCTGAACAAGCAGGTCGGTATTGGTGTAAATTAGGAGATACATTATCAATATTTTATTATGTATCAGTTGATACTGACTCTCAAGGAATAAAAGTTGTATACCCTGTAACAGCACCTTATATGTCTCATGCAACACCAAAGCAGCTTATACCGAAATACAATTTAATCATTTACTCAACATGGACTAAATGGTCTCCATGTTCTACATGTAATATAATTGGAAAGAAATATCGTTATGGATATTGTACTATTTCTTTACAGGAAAACATCATTAATAAAAATATAGAAACAACAGAGGAACAAAATATACGAGATTATAAAAGACAAGGTACATTGTTTTTTAAATTACACATCACGTCATGTATTAAATTTTCTACAAAATTAACGCTAATGATATATTACAATATTTAGTTACAAATGATGATCAGACTGTAACAACTGAAACCAACAGTTTAGATGAAAGTGTTGTTAATAAAATTAGAAGGACTCTAACTGTATTTAGAAATAAATTACCATGTAAAAGTGAGTATTTGCCAAAAGAAATTCTGAACATTCCAGATATTAAAAATAGAAAAACAGAATTGATGGTTCAATATTGCAAGGTATTTTCGATTTTTAAGGTTGCAAGTATTTAATTTAAAATTTAGCATTATATTATAAATATGTGTGTAAAATAAGTTTGAATTATTTTACTTTAGGTAAAATGTTCGAAAAATGTAGTATTTGAAGTACGAGATAAACAAGGAAATATACTTGAAAGCGCAAACAATAGCGCTGGCATATATTCTATGGTTCAAGGAATGCCCATTCCCTTGCCACCAGTTACACGGATAATAATTTTTGAAAAGTTTAAAAAGAAAGCAACACTTATATGTCCAGGGTAAAATAATATATTACAAACTTGGATTTCAAGCTAACATATATAAACAAATTTTCAGAAATTTAAATACAGATGTGCCAATTACTTGGAAGGTGGACAATAAAGTATTAAATCCAGCTATCATTAAAGACCAATCTCAGAAAAGAATTTATATTGATTCACAAATGCATATAGTCTTTCAATCATTAAAATTTGAAGATACAAACATTTACAGGTAAATAATTCTTCACAAATGAATTAAGAACCTATTCCATTTACAGATATTTCTTTCTAGTTGTTGGCAAAAAGATGAAATTACTGGAGTAATAAAATTAAATGTAATAGGAGAAACAGAATTGCAAGTAAATTATAGTGCAATTATGATTGGTGGAATTTTAATAATTATTGTATTTCTAATAGTATTTTGGAAAGCATTTCAAGGCCGCAAACGCTTCACGATACATTAGTTTATGGTTAAAAATGAAACGATATACAATACAAAGTACAGTACCTTGTACATTGATTATATAATAAACAAAAGTTCTTTTAATTAAATAAATTACTTACCACAACAGTATCAGATGGTTTTCGCATAGAAGGCGGTATCATGTCGGGAGTCAAACTTGCAGGTGGATCAACACCTCTAAGCTTTTGCTTAATAAGCCACATAGCTAAAGCAAATTGTTCCTTATTTAACTTTCCACTTTGACACGTGTCACAGAGACCCCTGAAATATTAAATATATATGCTCAAAGTTTGTACTAATGAATAATCAGTAATCAAGATTATAAGAATGTGCATACCATATATCAGCCAATACAGCCTGTGGAAGTCCACTTTGAAGGAAGACATCTTTGATTTCAAGACCTGAGACATATCCATCCATATCCATATCAGCTTGCAAAAACAATTTATCTGCTGCTATTTGTTCTTCAGAAGAAACTACCCACTGCACATTTGTCTGTATCATAAATATTCCCTTTCAATATACAGTTTACAAAAATGATGTTTATAATTTCATTACATGCAAAATACCTTTGATATATCCAGACCAGCCATACTCTTTACAACTGATGCATTAGGTAAAGGTGGTATAGGTGGTGGAGCTGTTGTCATTCCTATCGGTGCAGGAGATTTTGATACTGGTATGGTAATATCTTTTCTTTTCCCAGGTGGCATTAATTCTGGTGGAAGTACACTTGGTATCGCATATTTCTCTAAAGCTTTATATACTAGATGCATAGCCTGCATAATAAAAAAATTTATATTCTTAAATATTCTTAAAAAATAATACAAACACATGCATACTTAATATACATACATAAATAAGTACTTACAACAACAAATTCATGTCTATCCAGCATACCATCCTTATCCATATCTGCAAGGTCCCAAATCGTTCCAAGTGTATCCAGAGGAAGCTTACTATCCATAAGAACACCTTTAACTTTATTCCCAGGTATATATCCATTTGCAGGTTGCAAACTATCAAAAAGTTGATCATATTTTGCTCTCTCCGAAGGTTTGATAGACCAATCTCCATTATTGACAGATGTTATTACTGGCAAATTATTAACTACATTTTTCTGAGATATTACAGGAATATCACCCTAAAAGTATACAATAGTAGATGATAAAAGTAATAATAAAAATTTATTTCTTATTTCTTTAGATATCACAATACTTTACCATCTTTGGAGGAGGCAATTCCATACTTAAATTCGACATACTAACGTCCCTTCCTGCTTGCGCCAATGCACAAAGTTTCAAAGCAACGAAAAGACCAGATTTATCTAAAGATCCACGAGATTGCGGATCTGCCATGTCCCATATTTGACTTAACACTTTATCGCTCAGCTGGGATTTCTTAAGAAATCTCGCAGCTTCCATTGCACCGATTCGTCCATATCCATGTGGATCAACCTTTAAATATAATTTAATACATTTCCCTCCTACTCTATTGTTTCGATTCTAATCTATAGCCATCTAAATTTGATAATGGATAAGTAAGTACTTTGTCAAGATAATTAAGATATACCTGATTATAATAGGCTTCATATATAACAGTATGGCTTCCAGCCACCTGTAAAAACAAATTCATTATATTCATTAATATCGCATTATAAATTATAACGTGTTACAAGATATTAGTAGATACAAATTTTAACTGCCGGAAATGTGCGGCCTATCGTAACTGACATTTCCAAATGTATAGACAGATGTTTTAATATCGGACTAATATATTTTATAGCATACCGTTTACAATGATTACGTTATAAATCTATGATGAAATGCGTAAGAAATAATACATTTATTGTGGATATACTGAAAGATTATTTGTGCTGTCAAAGAAGTCAAAGCAATCGACATAAGTATAAGAACATTGAAGATACGTATTACAAAAGTAACATTATTCTTGCACAAAATAAAAATTAATTTTAAAAGAGATCTGTCTGAGAACAAACACGACATATCGAATATTATATCATGATAGAATTATAAAAATTACGATATACCTGCGTGGGTGATGGCAGGGCGGCCATACTTGCATTGAACACTGGCTTAACCAATCACGCTGTGAATCGATAGTGTCATATTAACAATTTTACTTAGCATTTTGTAGATGAATTTTTATTCCTAAATGCACCAACAGAACACTACAATCGTATTTCTTTGTCGAACAATTCGAATGTATGACTAGAGCGACAGAAAATTATCAATCACCAGTACGAAACAGTTCTGCCGCTCGTCGCACTCGATTCTCGTCTTATGTTCCACCTCCTTTACACCAACGATAATCATGCAAACTAGACTTCATGCGCATAGTGCAATCAAACTAGCATTCAAACAGAATTTATCTTTTGCTGGTATATTGAGTTTGCTAATATTCGTATACAAATTTTTTAACAGATTTCAAGGAAAGGTATTCTTTAAGACAATTTCATTTAATGTATTTATATACAATTACATATAATTAATTATCACTTTCTTGTAAGTAAAGTTTTGAAAAGTAACAATGTTACAGAACTTTAACTTATTAATTAAAAATACATAAATAAATAAATCAATAATGATTAAGGTATCGTTGAAAGTCGAGGGAAGGGATTTTGTTTGGAGATGACCAGCTTCTTATGTTGATGAGATATGTATCCTTTAATTTTTCCTTCATATATTAAGTTTGCAACAATGCACTCTACTTCATCCATATCAATATCCTCGATCCCGTGCATCTGCAGAGCCAATAGTAAGCTTTGAATTGGAATCTGATGTATATTCAGCACTAAATATACTTTTTTAAATAAATTTCTGTAAGCTATAATTTTCAATTTCTCCACAATTAAGTATATTCCAGCTCCTATAAAGAATGATTCATGTTTATCCATCACTTTCTCAAGATTACGTAAATCTCCTTTTTTAACAGCTTCCATTAATTCCCAGAATTCCATTAAATTATACTTTTCTAACAAGCTATGTTTCGGCATGTATCCTAATAACATCTTTACTGGTACAAGATATGTCAAAATTAATCGTTTGTTTTTTGATGATTGTTTATGACAATGTTCAAATGCATAAGTCAGGTGTTCATCAGCTGAAACATAGTAACACTAATTGGTAAATACATTATCGAATAAAATAAACAAATTATATTTACCAGCTTTGTAGTCGCTATCAAACATTGCCTTACGTCCCACAAAAAATTTATAAGTAATTTGTTGTGCCAATGCAAAATGAGCTTTGTATGGAGATGACTCTATTGCCCTTATCAAAGGCCTACACAAGTGAAGTTTGTTAATTCTAAAGTAAATCTTCAATAACTGATTAACTAATGTCAGCATTCCCCATCTTTTTGTGTCATCTTCTGAACTGCGGTTATCGCAAGCACACACTCGAAAGCAGCCCATTAGACAATCTGCACACTTTTCTAAGATTTCTCCAGGTTTCATACTTTTATTGATCTTTGTATTTTCAGCACACACTGCCAACAGTCTTAATTCTAAACACATCACATTCATAACAGGTAACATCCAGTTCTCTTCTTTTTGTATTTGAAGGATCTTTGTTAAAGACTGCACTGCGGAACTTTGATAATTATACATAGCCAATGGATCATCCTTGTTCATTGCAACTATAGTTCTAAAAACATAAATATTACAGTATTAAATTACATAACATTTATAATGGTTATGATAACATTTTGAAAAAAGACATTCGGTTACTTTAAGTGGTAAAGTACCAAGTCATCGAGGGGGGCAGATAAGTGTTCCATTACTTTTTTCATCGCAGTTTCAGATACCATTTGAGGAATTGAGACATGGCTATGTCTCAAAGATAGTAAATCCTTTAAAAAAAAACGTTATTTACAATGGACATGTATTACTCATATTTTTACATAATTTAAAATTGAGTAAGAATACGTATTATTTACCGCTAAAGAATCTCCATCCTGATTTAACCACATACGTCTGACCTATTCGAATTATAACCTTAAATTTAACATCCTTTCTTTACACAATTGAATATTATAACAAATTACCTGTATTATGTACGAATCCATGATAATATCAATAGATAAATTTAATAATGATTTATTTCAAAGGTATATTTTTATAGTAGTACTTTGACAACAAACAGGTTTATAAACATTGCTATAACCATACAATAAATTAATATAAATTCAAAACAGCAGTTCCTTATTTTAACAGATGTCTCTACGATCTGTGTCTAGTAACAAAATGGTAAATTGTCCGTTTACTAGAGAAATAAAAACAAATTTTACATAATTTATGTATAATCACTGAACTCACTAATTATTAAATAAAGAAACTAAATAAATATAAATTTAAATAATCTATACTTCATTCAGTATGACGATGAACTCCCGTAACAAAACCACGTAATTTGCATCATCTGATTTGATCTCATTAGTCCGCTGTATGCCCAGGAGCGTATAGTAGATGCATAATACATAACATATATATATTTTTTTTTATTTAATTAGTTTATTCAATATCTTCATATAATTTTTTTTATCGAATCTTTCACTGCAGAACTGTAATCATTCTACATAAATAATAACTTGTATAACATATAACTACGTACATATATGTATTCAATTTATAAAGGCTGATTTATTCCTATCGCAAGTTCTATGATTTTGTTATATTTTTGAATTTTATTTTTACTCGAAAAATTACTCTTTATTTTTATACTAGATTAAAATAGATGAATCTTTCAATATTTTCAATTATATAAATTATCAATAATAATCGCGTGGCTGGACAGAAAAAAAATGAATAATATTCAGGAAATTTTAGTTGAAAATGCTCCTCAATTTCGTTTTGTTTGAAAAATCTAGAAAGTTTCTCAGTCTATAGTTGGCGAACCTGAAATTTCTAGTAGCAAATTGGCTACCCGTATGGAACTTGATAAAGCATAGAGGCGGTGCTGCTGTATTAGGGAGGGGGGCCCGCGGTCACGTGACCGAGCTGCGTTTTGAGCGCACTAACCAGGTACGAGCAAATTCGTTGTTTTTTTCGTGGTTTTTCGCGCGCCACGGCCGAAAAAGCCGAGGCGTCGTGAATTTCGCTTGATTCTGACTCCGGACGTGTCCTCCGAGTACGCAAACAACATTTATAATAACTGTGAGTTACTTGCGAATACTTTGACTCGATCGTCTCACGGAGATCTATCGATGCTCCACCGCGGCGATGGTTGACAAGCCTTCCTCGCAAAACCAGAAATGGCGTCTACCGTGCACATGGTCTGCAGAGAATATTCCACATCAACTTTGTTGTACCGATTCAGGAATGTAACAAAACCTACACGGCCAATTTCTTTATCATCCGTTTGAAGAATTTTCACAACTCGCTTGCGAACAACAACGCAACGGTCAAGGTGTTTTTTGTGATGCGCCTGATAATCCTCCTTCGTCATATTCTCACCGCGCACGTCAAAATTTAGCTTTTTTTCGTTACCTTCGTCATCCTTCGAAAGCTTTTGTGTTGCAAAAAATTCACAAAACTTTCTGCTTTCTTGGTGAGTCTCGTCCTGTTCTATCAAGCGGCTTGATCCTCTGGAATTTCGCAAAATTGTGCGAACAAGGTTTAGATTATTCTGCAATATCTCCCTGACGCTTAGTTATTCGTTCTTCTTCTGGACTAACCGTTTTAGGAAAAACGTGACTATTTTAAGAGATACTTGTCAAATCGTTTGATTTACCATTTATCGTTACAAGTCGATCCTAACCTTTTCGTCTCTTCTCAATACGGAACGGCTAAATTATATTTTGGAATCGTTCCCTTTGAATTCGTGTCGGCTTTGTTGTAAATATTTTTGTATATTTTAATAATAATATTTGAAGTTATTGTATGGTTAATGTATACTTAATCATCTTGCATATACATTTAAGAGCAAATTGATTTTCTTATTTAAGTTATTTCAAACACAAATCTGTATCATAATTATTACATGTCTTGTTCAAGTGTATACTCTACAAATTTCCATATTATGCAATGTAAATTTTATTTTTAAACCAGTTTATTAAAATATATCGTTTCTATAAAGATCATTATATATGATCATAATTATAATTTTGTATTTGTAATTGTGACATAATTGTTATCTGTAATTACTGATCATAGTATACACAAATAATTTTTCATATCATTTTTGGTGTGTAAACATTCGATTCTCCTGATAAATTTAATGATATGTTTAAACTGTATTACATATCCTTTGATAAAGAAGATGTAATTTTGATTATATATTCTTTTATAATTTTATTTTGTTGATTTATTATATTATCAAAGATGTATTTTAGTATAAAGCAACATTTAGTATATTACTATCATTTAGCTATGTTAAGTTAATCATACTGTGTCTTTGTTTAAATGCAAATTGCATTGAATCAACTCCTTTCATAACGATATTTTAATATCTTTATATCAAAATTTTGATGAAACTTCTTAACTTTATTGTTTATTATTCAAAATTAAAAACATTTATGGTTGATACTTTGATATGATGTATTATTAATTATTTTGTAAAGTACATGTTACAATTTGGAATCATTAATTGCATTTAATGATTTCTTTTATATCAATAAATTAATAATAATTATAATCTCAAATATTTATTTTATGCTATATGAAACAAGAAATGCACATAATTGCCAATCATTTTCAGACTTCTGAAATAAAAAAAATGCAGCAATATGCAATTATATGAGTTATTTAAATAAAACATTTTCATGTTTAATCAGAAATTCTAGAGTACATGCATTTTTATAAGAATTATAATATGATTAGAATATAAATTTTAAATCAATTAATATAAATAAGAGTAATGTAATAAATGTATTTATTATTTACATGAAACTAAGAATCGAATATTAGATATACACGATTAAATGTTTACTTTGTTACAGACTGTAAATAGAGAGTGTATATAGTGTGATAGGTGAGTGATATAGGTGTGTGGGATTTTAGTTGGCAATGAGTTCAAGCAACAAATCGGTGTCCTCCGGCGGGAAGGGCACCAACAAAAACAAATCTTCACAACAACATGGAAAGTCAGATCATCAAACTAAATCATCGGATTCGACAAAACATGAAAAGGCACAGGTCAGTATGTGCTGTTTATTATTATTTTCATTTATTCTTTAATATTATGTAACTGAGAATTCTTTATTAAAAACTATGGCGTTTCAGCCAAACACTGTTCAGACGCGGCATGCACAAATCATTGACACGAGAATGGGGAGTGGGGAAGATCCTATTTTGAAGGAACGTATCAAGCAGGTCATGGATATGACTAGACGCTCAGAGGACGAAGTTGTCATGGCTTTACATGATAGCGACGGAGACCTCGACCGCGCTGTCAATGATCTGTTGGAAGGCGTGAAAACAGAATGGGAAGTAAAAAAGAAAAAGCCTCGCCAACCTAGTGGTTCCAAACAAAACATGGATACTTCTGTGGGTCAGGACGAAGGTGGCGACTGGGATGAAAGGCGTAATCAACGAGGTGGTGGTCCTCCGCGTATGCGAGGACGTGCTAATCATGATAATCGTGGATGTAAGTTAAAAAACGTCGTATATATCCAATTATATTATTGCAAATCATGTTTATTTTATACATTAACAAATTTTTATATACATCAATTATAATTGCTCTTCAATAAGTATGATTATAATTGATAGAGAAATGTAGCTATTTCTTCCTTAATGATATATGAAGACAAAAATTACAAAAATCCTCTAGAGATGAACTTATAAAAACACATTGAACTAACAATAATAGAGAAATGATTATAATAAACCAACTATATAAAACTTTATTACATATTGTAATCAAATTAAAACTTTTAGTTGTTCTTTTACGAAACCAAAACAACAAATTGATTTGAGTTATCTGATAAAGTAGACAAAGAAGAAATTGCCTTCCCTTAACAATTGCAATTCTAAATAAATGTTTATTTAGGGCGCGGTCGGGAAAATAAAGAGAATGAAAGAAATATGGAGGATGGTGTTCGCGATGGCAGCTACAGTGGTAATAGAAGAGGAAGAGGCGGTCCTGGTAGACCTGGTCGAGGAGGACGCGGTGGAGGAAGAGGACTTGGTCCGCGAACATTTGCCAATCGTAATGATCCATCATCAACATCATCGCCTCATAATTTTAATCGTTCGATTGATACTTGGACAGGTAACGATGAACAACAACAAACTGTCCAGGAACCAAAGATGGGTAAGCTACATCATAAATATTTGTTATTAATGTTTTAAGTTATTCTAAATTGGTGTCTTATTTATTAAAATGTATGAGTAGATGCATGGAATAATTTGGATTCTACAGAAGACTGGGACAACGAAGAATATACAGGTTCATTGGCAGATACAAAAGTTTTTACACCAAGTACTTCTGTAGCGGAAGTTCCATCCTCCATAGAAGAAACAAAAACTCAAGATCTGCAGTCGGTGCAATCTAATCAGAATGTAAATTTGTCGTTACTGCAACAAGAAGTACATAATTTTAAAACGTCATTTAACATATAAATATTTATTAATTTGACTATCTATTCATTTAATACATATATATTTAAGGAACTACCAAAATTATCGGAAATACCTTCGATTCAGCAACAGACTTTAATTCAGCAGTCCCAGCAACAACAACCTGTGCTGAACTTACCAACGATGCAACTATTGCAGCAACCAAATGCTATCAGTGGCGGAGTATTAACAGCTGCACAGACTCAGTATTTTACACAACTTACCCAGCAAACGAGTGAAAATTTAAAAGCTGCTGGACAAACAACATTCTCATCGTCGATATCCAGTCAGGTAGTTAGTCAAATATTGTACTTGAAGTGAATTTATTTTATAAATTTATTGTAATCCTTAATTATTGTTCAAATATATTAGCCTCAAAGACAGACAAAACAACGCCCACGAGTGCCACCGCCATCAAAAATCCCATCTAGCGCCGTTGAAATGCCAGGAGATGCTGTGAATAGCGGCATTGGATTTCTCGATGTTCAATTTGGCGCTCTAGAGTTTGGTAGCGATTCAAGTTCTCTTGATGGTTCTGCGAATGAAAAATTCAATTCAGCGAGTAGTACAATTCCTGGTGTAGATGTGTCTTCTGCCACGAATGCCGTAAACACTGCCAATACAAATAAGTCTCTGGATATTGAAACAACACAAACATCAACAACACCTTTCAGTACTACTTCTCAAATTGTAAGTAGCTTACTATTTTACGTATACGGAAGTATAAGCATTTGCCGTTTTTAATTTTTTTATAATTACAGAATAATAATTGTTTTCAGTTATCAAATAGTGATAATTTACCAGTGTCGAGTGAACATTCAATAAACGCTCAAAGTTTTACTGCTCGCGGTAGTAGTACTGGTCAAACTTTAGACATAACAAAACAAGATTTTACCTCGCAAGTCTCACCAGGAAATGCACCAACATATGGTACAGCAACAACTTATCAGTCCCAAAAGTCATCATTTCAACCACCTGCTGCAACGCCAAGCACTTATAATGCATATTCTACAAATGCTGAATCGGCTCAATCGTCCTTCCAAACAGCGTCAGGCACTAGTGCCAATAGCTATTCCGCGACGCCAACTGTTTCACAAGCAAGTTATAATTCTTCGTCGTCATTTCCTCAATCCAATACGTCAACTTTCAATCAAGCTTCTCCATCGGCGCCTGTGTCTGCAACTTCAGGTTATAATCAACCAACAACTACTAATCAGGTAATTTTAAGATGATTATATTAAAGTTACACCATTGTTTTTCAAAGTAGGGAGCGAAACCTATAAGAGGCGTCTTATAATTCAAGAGGTTAGGGGAGGGGGTATTTTTTCTTTGTAGACTCACCCCAGTAGTAATTGATCACCCACTTGTTCATCATTGTCTCAAAATTGTCATCAGAACATAGCTTCATACAAACATTGGGTAGTTAAATCAGAAAAGTTTGAAAGCTTGAAAATTAGTCCATATGATTTAAATACCTTCATTGTATTTTGAATTATTACTTTTAAAGTACACCTTTTAAGATTTCTTTTTTTGAGGCGGGTGTTTTCCATACAATGTTGAAAATTCCTAAGTTACAATGAGAAATATAACTGAACCAGTAGCAACAAGTATTGTAAAAGTCATTATTTCTTTCCTTCTTTACGAGGGATCAGAGTTGAAACATCATTAGTTTCATGATAGATTCGTTCTTGAGTTCAGTTATGCTTTTCACCGTGTATGGAGTAATGTTCTCATTATATACATAGGTTTACCAATCTACGAGCGGATACGTACCTGCTACAACATCGCAGTATCAAGCACAGGTTGTAGTTACGAATACTGTATCAAACAGTAGTACAGGGTATCAAACAAGTGGTTATCAGGGATCGTCTTCATTCCAATCGACACCACAAGCTTACCAACCCTCTGTTACTACATTTACTTCACCTATTACACAAACTTCTGGAGCTTATCAAAGCGCTGCACAGTCTGTAAGTATCTTATTTTAAAGTAATTTTGAATATTACTTGTGCAGATAAAATTACAATACTGCATTTGTAGGTATATGCTAGTGCATATGGCACATATGGTAGTCAGCCACAAACGGCGTCTCATAATCATAAATTGAACAGTAACACAACAAAAGATTCTCAATACGATAGTAACACGACGACATCCAATAGTTCTCTTGCAACTACCACGGCACCTACATTAGGCCTTAGCTCTGCCTCCGTAAATAGTTCACAAACTAAAGTAACTAATTCCAATGGTAAGTAGATTTTATATCATAATGAAATTAGATAAATCAATCAAATCAAAAGTGATAAATATAACGTGGTTTTTATCTAGCGGTACCGAAAAGTACATCGAGTGGTGTAGTAACTGGTAATAGTGGAACTGGAAATATCACAGGTGGTGGTGCAGCTGGCAGTATGACACCGATGCTAAGTCATCAATATATTATGGGCCAAGGTGTACCTTATGCGTTCCAGCAACCAATGTATAGTTTTGAAGATATGCAGCTTATGCAACAAAGAATACCACACATGGTCAGTTATTACTCGATCGATCAATTTATGCAATAGATTCAAGTACAAGTTATTCATTTTTTAATTTCTTAAGTAATTTGTACTTGATTCAATTAAAATGCTTCTTTAGAGTAACGTACACTTTAAAAAGAGTACATTGATTTATTTTACAGAATATAATTGAATATATTTGTTATACTTGTTTAAAAAAAAAAAATATTAGCATTTTCACTTCAAAAGAAAAGATGATGTTTCGGGTGTACGACTCTGGAGCGTGCTATTCTATTTTTTGTTAAGATTACCTAGTAAGAAGAATGCTGAAGTAATCATTTCTTTATTGCTTGGTAGCTGCTCGTTACTTCAATATTTCTTTTATTTTTATTTTTTTAAGGAATTATGAATTTTCTTCTCACGTCCTCGTGGTGGCACAAGAAGTTTAGTGTATTTATCCATAGTGAGATGTATCGCATCAAATAAATGATTGGAAAGGTTTTTATTTCTAAAACACTATTTCGTAGAGGAGTAAAAATGTCTATGATCAATTTGGGCGTGGTATATATATTTTGAAAGTTTAGCTGGTTCGGAATTCAGATTTTCACTAATGACATGTTTTGATCGCAAACTCACTGTAGCTTATACAACTATCTTCCTTTTTTATTTATTTATTTTATTTGCTCCATATCTAATGTCACGTATTTAAAATTCTATGGAAATATACAATGTTGCAATTTCCAAGTGGTTAAGTTGTACTTCCTTTTGCACACTTTCTTAGAGAATGCGTGCTTTGTTTGTATATTATTATTATTTTTTCTTGTCGTTTGTATTATTATTATTATCATCATTATCATTATCAATTAGATATCCAAAAATAGTTAGGAAAAATAATTTACAAGTTTATGCTAAAATAGTGATTATTATAATTTTATTTTAATTAGATAAATTAAAAAGAGTCGGGTACAACTCAAACCGCATGTTATCTACCCTAAACCCTGTACGCGTAGTATTAGCAATTAGATAGCCTTCTTGTATTTGGAGTACACAGTGTATGCATGTAGTTTTGTGTTTGGCCTTCCTGACTAACCTGCAGCCAACTACTGGTTACTATGACGCGCCCTTGGGCTATCAGACAACCGGCCCTGCTACCAGTCTCGGTGGAGGACGAGGAGATGCACTTTCCGGTGTACAAGGTGTCCAAGGAGTACAAGGTGTACAGGGAGCCTATACCAGTATTAATGACGCCAGGTTCACCAGAAACGACAGCAATGCATCTCCAGTTCCATCTACTATGTCGCAACAGGTTAGGTTTAAGCATTTCGTAGACTTGACGACCAGCTTAACAGTGTTGTTGGAATACTTGGACATTATTTTGATAGTTTCAACCGGATACATTTTATCAGATTAAAATCATTTTTTATTTACATTATTTGCAGACTGCTACTCAGCATCAGCAACCAATGATAAATCCTACGCTTCCTCCGACTTACGCATACTTTGCATACGGCGGTGGAATAATGCCAGGTAGTTTTCAATACGGAACTCCTGCTGCCATTTATCCTGTAAGTTAATTAAATTTTGCATTTCATTTGGAAAATTTGCATTCCGTTTATCAATGTAATTTATTATAGCAGATAGCTACTGCTGGTAATGCGGGCACGAACAGCGGAGCATATAGTGCTAAACCTGGAAGTTACGGATCTGGATATGGTGCTGGCGCAAGCTACGATGCTATGGCATCTGCTGGTCCCTCTGCTGACTACAAAGGTGCAGGAAGCAGTTATAACAGTACACAAACTGGCAAAACAGGAACATCTACTGGAAATACTAATACTGGTGGATCATCTGCAACTGATATAAGCGCGACTATGTATGCAAAAAGTCATGTAGCGCTTAGTAAAGTAAATGTAAGTTTTCTCATAAAATCAATCATAGTACAATATTCTACAAGTTGCAGCGAAAGGTAATAACATTTTTCTATTATTCTAGTCCTATGATAAACAAACTTTTCACTCAGCAACTCCTCCGCCATTTAATCTTACTGGCAGTCAAAACGCTGGTTTGCCTAGTGCATATGGAACACCACATTTGTTTATCCCAACTATGGCTCATCAATTGCATCAGCCACTTCATCAAGATGGTGGTAGCAGCACAGGCCAAAGGTCCAATACAAGTTCCCAAAACAAAGCCCAAGCAAAACCAGGATATAGTCCTAATTACTGGACTGGAAGCAATTAAAAATTTTGGACTATGCAAGGAAAAAATAGAGGAAGGAAGACCATTTTAGACAAAATACAACTTCGCCATTGTGAGACACGGTGGTGTGAGATATGGACATTGACATAAATGACATAAAGGACACGAGACAAGACGTTTTTTTCGTGAAACTAAATAATTCTGGTACGACACGAGTTAATGTAAAATGAAAGATTGAATCTTAAAATATGGAAGGATTAAGCAATTTTTACTGATTTTATGTTTAATAGAGTGAAGTATTTTTTTCGCATAAATCTCATGCAACAGTTAGTTAAAAACGTTATACTCTTTCCAGTTAGCCTAATTACTTACTTTTTTTTTATAATATTTCGAAATATTATATTGAATTATAAAAATCCTTTACTATGTTTCTCGTTTATAATTCTGTATAATTCATTAAGCGTATTAGAAAGTTTTTTGGTGTGTATAATGCAGTATATATGTTTCTGTAAAATACGATGTATTTTTCTCAAAACTAAATACGGTACACGTAAAGAAAGAAAAAACAATCATATGCAACATGAAAAATTGCATAGTTCTTCCAAATGTGAGGCGCACTCGTGCCAAATAAACTTATAGCGTTTTTAACGTGTAAAACCGTGGAACGCATGATCGTACATATTTGTCAAGATGATGGAGACAAGCAGAATTTATGTGGTATTGTTGAAACACTATAAAAAATCAAGATTTGTGAGTAGCATAACTCTCGTGTGAAATACTGGAAAGATGATCTAGAAGAGTAATTGACTGTTAAATCTACTCCCGATCTCCTATCTGTATACTACTGTGCAATTGCGAATATACTGCATCGACTGCAAAGGGTGATAGTTTTTTTTGTATAATGTAGGCATCTCGGCTCACTAACATCTAAAGTGCTTCTTTACATGAAAACAAAGCACCCCGTTCGTGATGAAACGTAAAACTATACTATTGTAAATTACGATAATTGTATGTATTTAATCATGGTACTTCAGGTATATAAAGTTATAATCATCATAATGTTGTCACTTTTGGTATTTAAAACGAGTGTATATCTGCACTAGTTTCGCATTCTTGCGCGCACCCACATATACGTATATTTGATTTGGTCGCTTTACATTTTTTTAGTTACCAGAATTTATCAACGTTATATTTTAGTAACAAAAAGCTATTAAACCAAAAAAGAAGATACCGTCACACCATGTTTTCAAAGAATGCTGGGTAAAAAATGAGAACGGTACTTGTTTAATATATCTTATGTTTAGGAAAACGGCGTCGCAGATTAAACAGTGCCACAAATAGTATGGAAACAAACCAGAATTCAGTAATTTTCTTGTGGTGCCTTGAATAAAATTCAGATAATAGAGTTTAACCATTGATTTTTGCAGAACTCCTCATATAACTTTTTACAATATTTTCAGATTGTTAAATTGTGTTAATGAAAACATACATTACTTTGTTCTTATTCATGCATTAACTCTTACTAATTGCTCTATATCATCGATATAATTTATCTTTTTAGAAGTAATAGTTGTCGCTTTAATTTAATAGTAACTTTGGAAGTTTTCGTTTGCAAACTATTGTTTATTTCTTTTAAATTAAACAATTTGAAAGATATTAAAACGATGTTTCAATTACGAAGGTATTTTTTTATATGATACATCTGGAAATGGATAAACGATTCTTTAAGCAACAGATAATTATAATAATTACCGAATAGTTATTACAGCTTTAAAATAACTAACTTTTTGGAGTTTACTATATAAGGCAGTTCTTCGGATATGGAAGAGAATTAAGATACGTACTATGACATTCTACTTGATGTTTACAAGATGTATAGTCCAAATAATAATCTTATGTGGCTACGCCGTAAATTCAATTTCTTTTTTACTTTTCGCTTCTAATTCTTACTCATTTCTAGAATCTGCTTAAAAATTGTAACATTTGTTAATACGTAAATAAAAGTGAATTTTAGTTGATCGAAGAAAGAGTATTGAGTCAATTTAATTTTTTGATAAAAATTTAAAGCAAACATACATACAAAATTTTGTTTACAGTCTATTACTATCTGCATTTATTAATAAATTCAACATTATCGTAATTCTGAAAGAAACATCGATGTTAGTGTACTGATACCAAGTATTCACAATGACTATCCTTTTCATTAAATTGTAATGAAAAAAAACCGCAATTGTCGATTCCGTCTGGTAAAAGAATATCCGTACTGGTACATTATTTACGCTGATTCGAAACACTGTACAGCTATAACGTATTCAGAAAAAAATAACACGTTAAGCAACACAAATCATTTTAGACATATACTTTACATTTTTGTATTGTGGATAGCAATCATTGCAAACATTTTCTCTCGTGAGAAATAAACAAGCAAAAGTCTAAGAAAAGCGTTTTCGAGAGGTGCTGTTAAACTTTTTGCAACTTAGCATATGTACCATACTTCAGAAATAAATTATTTTACCGTGTAAATGATCGATCGATCATCAAAACTTCATCGAGTACCGCTGATATCTGGAAGAAGTACATAATTGTAAGTAAAATCTTGGTTAGCAATTGCAATATACACAAATTTGAATAACAGCGGTATAGATAGGATGATACACTTGAAAAATCATGGGAGACCAAATGTAGAATAGTTGTCTTAAAAAAAAAAAAAAAAAAAAAAATGAAAGAAAATGTAAATCTGTAATCATAAATTTTCGAGAAAAATAATCGACTTTGTCCACTCGTTACAATAATACCCGGATACAGATTACTCGTTCGCCTGGACTACAGAATATTCTGAAAATTTAGTATGTATTACTAAAAATTTAACAACTTTGGAATATTGTTCTTTACGAAGGAAATCTTACAAATATACGTACGATTTTAAATGGTTGTCAACTATGTCACAATTTAAATACCTTGAGGGAGTATTTAGCAAATTGAAACTTAATTACTAAATATAGTCTCAATTTTCTTAAGATCTCTTATTTATTGAAAATAAATATGCGATTAAGTTGAAATTTATTAATTTATGTTTTAAGTGAACGTTAGAAATATTTTTGTTAGTTTTTAAAAATGTTATTTGAATAGAAGAAAACTCGTTTTTAGTTTAGAAACTGAAATATTAAATTATAACATTCTGTCAATCGTCTTAAATCGGAAGTATATTTACAGGATTTACATTATAGTTTCACTAATATCTTAAATGAATTACTGAATTGTATAAAAGATATTTTGAAACATCTTGGGAAACATTCTTATGTATTAAGACTAAATATACGTACATACACACGCATAAAACATTCAAGTGATTGGTAATAACCAAGAGAATAAAAATACTTTCTTGTTTTATGTCAGTATATATTTTAAAATATTTCGCACTCCTCGTGTATGCTCAATTGAGCTTAAGAGCAAGGATATTAAGTGTAATATGTAATGGAAAAAGTAACAAAAAATACAAAATATTCTAAGGGAAGTAAAGATATAAACAAAACGTAAAATTCAGATCAAACAGTTTGTTCTCATAATAATTATTACACATTAATAATTTTTGTATTTTTGTCAAGTATTAATCTATCAAACGAAAATGCAAAATGCATTATGCCATTATTGCTATTATATGATTATTAAAAAAAAAATAGTTACTACTGTGTATAAATATGAATATCTAAGAATAAATGTATTAAAGGAACCCTGTGACATACAAACATATTGTGTGTAAATACTTTTAATTTAATACCTGTTATTACACAATTTCTTTAAGTTTAGGATGATATTTATAAAATGTATATCCAAAAAATACGTTGTTTAATTATTTTCTAGAAATTACCAAAAACTAAAAACTACAACGAATGAAAATGTTCAAATTTAAAAACCAACGAAGCTATTAATAATTTTATAAATTAATTATTAATATTAATATTGACTTGATTAGACCTTAATGAAATTGTAGAAAATCCCACTTATTTTAAATCGCATAAGTATACAATGAAAGTTTCGTAATAAAACAGAATAGTAATTCTGTTATTCGTCTAAAAAATCTACCTGAATACCTATGGACCATTTACAAAATAGTGACAATAAACAATTTAAAGTGATAAGTAGTTCTTTAATATTACTCTAGGGTTTCATAGAATCTGTTTCACAATGTGGAACACTTATTTTTTAGATTCAGATAGAAAAATGTCTGTTATATTTTTAACTAAATAAAAAGTAGCATGAAATTATGAAGACAATAAAGAAAAAAAAATAATGAAGGTGAATCTAGGGTCTTCCATGAAGCTCTTTATTAGGTGCGCTTAGATATAATTACAAGTGGTTACATTTGATTCAATTTATAATTTTCGAAATACAAGCGAATAAATTTAAAATTTCGGACAATCATTACGAATAGCTTGCAAATGTATTTCTACAGACTTTCAAAATGTAATGACTGTGCGCATGTGATTATCAGAAGCTTTAATAAACATGCAGTTGACATTTGGTTGATATGAAAATGAATGAACGCAATAGAAAACTGACATAATGTGTTGTTTAAAGCAAATGATAAAGGAAATAAGAAAGAAACATACAGAAATAAGGAATGACAGTATTTCCTAAATTTTGTTCGGCGTAATAATTTTTACTATAAGTTTGTTTGGAAACAAAAAATAATCTAATAGGTTAGGTGTCAATATGTGCATAAACTTTGATTTCAATTAATGACGCATTATTTTTCGTGTAAATGATATTTACTAGTATTAGCCATATGACTCAATTCTATTAATTTTATATATCATATAAAATGGTTACTATGTGGCATCAACAAGTATTTGCTCTTGATGCTAAATATAATGGACAACGTGTAAATAAATTACCTACTTTGGGTATGTATGTGTTTTATTATTTAAAAAATTGCAATACATGGAAATTTAAAAGTAATAAAATTACAGGGATGCTTTATATTCGCCGTAGAAATCAATTACTAAAGGAAAAGTTTTGCAAGGATCCGAAAATGTGTGAAAACTATTTAAAGTTAAGATCAAAATTGTTATTTTTACGTTATGGTGAAAGCTTGGAACAAAATAGTCTTGGAAGTCACACAACGGAAGATGAGAAATCAGAAATTAAGACAAAACTTAGTAGTATACAACGTAAATCGATAGCAGAAAACTTTGCATTTGATGGAATGCATCATGTTTTTGATCAACATAATGCTCCTGTAGTAATGTTAAAATTTGCAAACAATAATAGATCAAAACTGTGTTGCGCATCACTAGATGGACTATTATCAATATGTGAAGCAATCAGTACACCACCGAAAGTCATAGCCTTATTAGAAGGTCACAAGAAAGGTGTTACTTCATTAGACTGGAGTATCAGTAATGATCTCATAGTTTCATCTTCTTTAGACGGCACTTTAAGACTTTGGAATGTTGCAACAGAAACTAGTCCAGATTGCTTACGAGTAGTTAATGACCAACAACGTGCAGAAGTTTTATGTTGTGGATTTATACCTGTAAATAATAATTTAGTTGTTGCTGGAAATTCCCATGGTCATGTACAAATTTTAAATATATCTACTGGTATATATACTCGAGGAGGATCTTGTAAAATTGGAGGAAAAGTTAGTTTCCTTTAACCATTAACCATAATATACATGCATAGAATAATTTTAATATAGATTATTAAACTATAGAATTTATTCTATTTATTTTTAAATTATAATCAGTTTTAGCCCATGACAAAATTTCATAAGTACTTCAATTTAATTTTTAAACAGTATATGCGTCTAGTACCGAAATTTTTAAATACTACACTTTGTTGTAGATCTTATCATTGACTTGTGAAGGTAGTGGTGGTTTAGTGATATGGGCTGGAAATGATAGAGGAATTATTATGTCATTTCAATTGGAACCAGGAACAGGTCGTTTAACAAAGTTACGAAGAGTACAGGAAATTGGTGGAATGATAACCAGTCTTTCTTGGCGTTCATGGTTTTCAAAGAATGCTCCATGGCCAGCACTTTTAGTGAGCAGTGCATGTAACGTAGTACTGTTGTATCATATCATTGATAATCAGGGCTCCTTATCTCTTTGGACCAAATATCCAATAAAACACAAGTAATATATAATTTGAATACTATTCACACTTTATAAAGCAATTTAGTTGGAATTACAACATATAAAATATAATTTTTCTATTCTTCATAGACATTATTTTGTGAGGTCTACATTTTGTCCACAAATGGAAGCGTGTTTAATAGCCTCTGGTTCCGAGGACGGTACAATCCATTTATTGGATTCAGCGAGAGAAGGCAAAGCAGCAAAAATTAATCGACTTCATGGTCATGCAACACCAACACTTGCTTTATGTTTTAATTACGATGAATCTCTTCTTGCATCTGCTGATTATCAGGGACTTATTATTTTATGGCGTAATCGTCAACGTCATATATAATCTTTAATGTAAAACAAAATGACATTATTAAAATAAACATCTTATAAAAACAATTGTTTTAAGTAAAGTATGTATAATAAAGTTTAAAGTAATCTTTATCTATTTTTCGGTTCTAAGTAAATTAATTACATTATCTATTTTTTATTCTGTAGAACATCAAATTTCAATTCAATCACTTTCTTCTAAAATAAATTAAAATTAATTAAAAGTAGTTAAAATTAATACATAACATTAAAATGCTTTTCATGTAGACATGTGGAATTGATAGTGGGTATGCATTAACGGTATGGGAAATAATAACAATGAAATGCATACTCTAAGCAAATAAATTTGTTCTGTATAACAATATATTAATTGTTCTCTATTAATACCCTATATGTTATAATGAGCACAGAGTTAGCAGTATCAATAATAATAATAATAATAATAATAATTGCAGTAGTAGTAAAAGTCGCATAATGATTGCTGTGCTTTTAACAGTAATTGTAGGATGTAAATTCTTACTTTCACATATCTTAATGAAATTATGTGTCGGTGCAAGTACCAAATATGTCAAATTATTTAAATTTTTTTTGTATATTTTTGATATTATTATAATCTATTTTGTTGTTATGCTATGATTTACTTGTGTTGTAATAATATTGAAAACTTCGAAAGATATTTTTTCGTGAAGATCGCGTAATATTAATGATTAACAATTATTAACATATCATTGGTATTTGTCACTCTCTTTGTAGCACGTATTCAAATAAATATTCACATTTCACGAATTCAATATTTAATACTATATTGACAATAAAGAATCCTTCCACGTGCTTTTATTACATTCCGTAAAATATCTACCGTGTGCAATTATTTTGTAAAAATTATCTAAACATTAAAAATTGTTGGAAATACTATATTTAATGCTTAAAAAGCATTATTTAAAAATATTAAAAAGCAAAGTGTGGTAAAGTACGCTAACATATTTTTAGTAAAACTTTTCTGAACTATTTTATCTAACAACCCAATAACGACTTGCCAAATGAACTGAAATATAGGTGCACATCTTGTATCCATTTCATTTCTAATAATAATAAAAACAATACATATTTATAAAAAAATTAGTTGTGCTTGAATTATTATACACATTATTGTTAAAACCTGATACTCGTTCACGATACCATCTCTTGTTTTACACTATAATACTTTTAGAGTAGAGAGCTGTTTTCTACTAATAATCTTAATATAATACAAAGAAAAATATCATATTTGAAGGTAACAATAATTGTAAAACAATATAGATAATTGTCATATCATCAATGAAACTAATAACATTAACTTATATAGGCACTAATCCTCGGGTGACGATCGTGTATCGAACAATGTTTAATAAATATTTACACGCGAAACGAAATCACTTAATAGTTTTGATGTAGTCTTTACAAATCGATTGTCTGGTATTCGATTTGATTAGCGATTACAATTTATGTTCTTTTATTGCCATGACGCTAATTGTATAAAAAATTATGTCAATATTAAGCTCTATTTATATCAATATATTCCTACATAACAAAGAAAAATTGTATGCTTCAATATATAATGATATAGATCATCGATTAAATCTCAGCCACAATAAAAATTTGCTACATCTTATTTACATGTACATTTTATGTATAATATTCGAGACTCATTTTTTAATGATCTCACTGAATAAAGTAGTCACTGTATTTTTGCAACGAAATTATTTCGGACGGACTTCAGCTAAATTATCTCTCTTAAAATTTTACCTATCAACTTTGCAATACGTTAGTCATGAATTAAAACACTGCACTTGTCCGTGGACTCAACTTTTTCCTGGTTATCACATTGGGCACTTTTTGAAGAAGCTGAATCAAGACTTCTCTCTTGTTGAGTATCTCGGAGAGGCACCGTTGGCAAAATATCATAGTTCAAGGAGTTTGGTAGGATACATTGGTCCTGTGTAAAATCTATACTTTCCGATGATTCGGGCTCCTCTTCTTTTTCATCCAATTGTTCAGTATCATCCTCTTGTATTTGTTTGACGGGAAAATAAGGCGTGCCATTTGTAGATAAATTTAACTTTAAACGATCTCTAGTGTGTCTTAATTCTCCTAATTGATGTTGTTGACCATGACCATAATCGTTTGATAATTCAATTCTACTTTGTTGTGTTCCTTGTTGACCGCCATCTACTTCGTCTTGATCTTTATTGGCAGATGTAGAAGCACCAGGAAAGAATTGACTTACGTATTTACTGTCACCAGTTTGAAATTGAAATGGACGATTTGAACTGCTCACAAAAAACTCTTCATTTCCTGCAATATGAAAATAAACACCATGGCACTATAAATAAAATTAATTAATCATATATTGTTTTTAAAGTAGTAGCAGAACATACCAGTATGGTTAGCATCATCATAGTCCAGGGGATATAAATCTAATCGTGGTTCATCTATCATTTCCTCCCAATCTAAAATAAATTATGATTGCATGACGTATGAATCCTACTGAATTATATTAATTGAATTAATTTTCAACATATTTTAAGTTACTGAGTATGTACCAGCATATGAAGTTGGTTCCCAGGTGGTAGTTGTTTCTCCTTGAATATCGGTAGCTAATGTTTCCTTTGGGTATTCGTATACGCAGTGATAACGTTGCTTCTTGAACCAAACACTCTTCTTTTGATCCTGGACAAATCGCACATTGTCGATCCGATAAAAATTGTTAAGTTATATCTATATTTAACATATATCTAATGTGTAAAAAGTACATTTGCTAAATACCTCAAATTAAATCTGCAATAGAAATATTCATGAGAAGGAGATTCAAATATATAAAATGTTCTATGTGCAAATAAATGATACACCTACCGATTCGTCCTAGCAGCAAAATTGAGGACAAGAAGTTATAAATGCTTATACTACATTTAAGAAAAAGTAGTCAAGATAATGCTATCATAAAGCTTACGCCAGATTTTAATGTTTTATCTGGAGATCGTAACGCGGAACGGCGGGGTGCTAACGTTGCATTCCAAGCTGATGGTGTGAATTCTTCCTCCTCCTCCTCCTCCTCCTCCTCCTCCTCTTCATCCTCCTCCTCATCCTCGCCCTCTTCTTCCTCTTCTGCATCCATTTCATCTTCAACATCAGCATCCACTGCTGTTCCTTCATTGTTACTCAGACTACTTCGAATTTGAACTTGCTCGACGTGTGGTTCAGTGTACCGCTATAGAATAATATAAAACAATTTTACCTGTCATATATATTTAGTACATCAAATAAATACCTTCCAAACAAATTCCCCAGAACTAGAACTGTTATCTTCGTCTTCGTCATCTTCTTCCTCCTCATCTTCCTCTTCTTCCTCTTCATCCTGACTGCCCCAACCATGCTCTGTTGCAAAACTCGTTGACATTAGATCATCTTCTAATGGTAGAGGTAATGGTAATGGAAAAGACGAAGGTAATTGTTGCCATTTAGATTCTTCTTCAGGACTTGGCAAAGGTGCTACTCCACTTGCGATCATGATATGTGATTTATCATCGCGGGAACGAATGACCGAACAATTATAATCCAAATTTTCTTCTTCAGAAAGATCACCATTGGTTGTATCTCGATCGTCATCCTGTAGCGTCTCTCCTAATCCTTCCAATAACATCATTTTATTTGTTCGAGTATCAACTAGCAATACATCATCTGATGATTGAGCAGATTCTTTTGAAGCAATTGATGTGTCTCTAGAATTAGATATAAGAGACTCTGAAGTAAGAGTACTTTCTCGTTCTTCTTGGATCGGGCTAAGTGGAGTACCGTACACGTTATACCTATATATAATACATAACAGTTTTTACTCAATACATTATGGTGTCTTGTAAAGATTATTATCTAAAACAATGAAAATACCTTATTGAAATACCCACTCCGCCGCTACCTTGATTTGACAATTCTTCATTATCATCATCATCATCCCATTGTTTATTGTCTATATCACTAGATGCAGATGGATTCTCATCATCGTCGTGAGACTCCAAAGGTTCTATGACTGACATCTGTGCACAAGGCAATTTTTCTCTAAGTTCGTTTCGAATTGCTGTTACAATCTCTTCCTCCATACCATATGATACATAAGAATTATCGCTACGTAAACTCATTGTAGAGCTATCGTCATCTTCAGTTTCATTTTCTCTTTCTTCAGTTTCATTCTCTTTTTCTTCAGTTTTATTTTCATTTTCATTTTCATTTTCGTTTTCGTTTTCGTTTTCATTTTCATTTTCGTTTTCATTTTCATTTTCATTTTCATTTTCATTTTCATTTTCATTTTCATTTTCATTTTCATTTTCATTTTCATTTTCATTTTCATTTTCATTTTCATTTTCATTTTCATTTTCATTTTCATTTTCATTTTCATTTTCATTTTGTAAACTTTGTTCCGATTCTTGATTCTTACAAGAACTTTTGGTGTTTACTAATATATCATTCTGAGCTGAATCTTTGTGTTGGAAAATCGAGGTAATGGCACTTGGATCTTTTAATTCAATCTTTTCTTCATTTTCAATTACATTTTCTCTCTGAGTTTCTTTCTCATCTTCTGACATTGGTTTCACAATATCATTTTCTGTTGACTGTACATTATAAATACAACTTTCATCATCCCTTGTTTCATCTACAGTATCTACAGTTTGGATAGAACCAGATTCCTCTTCATTTACATTAAGAACTTCGTTTTCTGTACACTTAATCGAGGATAAGTTTTCTGTTCCTTTTTCAGAGTCTTGTAATGTTGCATAATACTCAGCATCAAGAATTGTATCTAATTCAAACAAAACCTGTAACTGCTGTTCTTCGGTACATAACGGTACAGCTGTTGTAGAATCATTACTAGAAGATAAAGGAGCCAAAGATGGACAAATATTCTCTTCTTCCTCGCAAGATTCTTTATCTCTAAAACCAGAGTCAGAGCTTTGCTCATCATCAGGAGTGGATAATTGTTTTCTTTCTTCCTCATCATCGTTCGGTAAACACCTTCGATCTATGTCCATTTCTTCTCCATTAGAAAATTCATCATCTGCATTATACGCAGAATGTTTTATACCAGATTGTGATGTATCTGGTGTAGATACGGTAGTTACAATTAGTTCTGGCATACTACTGCTCTGTTGCTCAGATGATGATTCTATACATTCATTGAATTCGCCTTCATACAAGAAACCAGGTACTTTCTTTTCTAAAGCAGAATCCAGTGCATGATTCCAAAGTTCAACATCGACTAAGTTGTTTTCATTTGTCTCAAAATTAATTGAAAAATTATTAGAGAAGCAAGTATTGTTTTCATGCTTAGATACAGCATTAAATTGAGATTCATTATTTTGTTTTAACATTTCAAAAGAAGATGTATTATCATCAGGTACAAAGCGAAGAAGAGGAAGATTAGGATCTCCTTTTGATAAAAGCCTTAATACATGTTTATCATTACGAGTTTCTGTGCTTGTACTTGCAACGGGTGTAGTATCAGTTTCTATAGTAGATTCTTTATCATTTAATGATAACCTTAAGATTGGCGTTTGATCCTGATCTGTAGTTAATGTCAGTAGTTTTGGCCGTTCCGAATTATCTAACATTTTGATCTTACTAGAAGTGTTATTTGGCAAAGGGTCTCGTAACTTTCTCAATGCTTCATCAAATTCATCTCTATGAGTACTATGTCTAAGATCACTATCACTACCAGTAGCAGGCAATTTTTTCTTTGCATGCTTTTCTGATACTTGAGCTCCCATTGATAATTCTGCATCAGAATCAAGATCGATATGTACAAGCACCATTAAATCGGTAACAGATTTAGATTTTTGCTTTACTTTTTCAGTATAAACTCCTTTTTCAATTCGTCCCTTCCAACTTTCTTCTTCAGTTTCGGAACCAGACTCATGATGAACCATAATATTTTTAACATGTGGTACATTTTTCACTAGTTCACCTGGCCCAAGCCGAAATGTTGATTGACGAGGCGTATCATCGATAATAGTAGTCCAGTAATCTGAATCAATACTCCCTCTGAGATCCTGCAAGCTAGCGCTGCGAACATTTTTAGTTACATTAACACGTAATTTCTCCCATCTTTGTTCAAAGTCCAAATACTCTGTTTGATTGCTCAGAAGAAGTTGCTTCACCTCATCCAAATTCGATCTTTTCTGTGGATTTAAATTCAAACATAAATGAATTGCTTGGATTATATTTGATGGACAATTTTCTAGATAGGTTTGCAACACTTGTGTACCATTTGGCAAGAGATCAGTTCTAAGAGATAACAACATCTGAATTACTTGCTCATCGCTTTTATCATTGAATGGTCTACTTCCCCATGTAGCAATCTCCCAAAGAAAAATAGCATAACTCCACATATTTGCTTGAGATGTTATCTCTCGTGTTTCAATAGTGGTATCGGTACATTCTATGCTTTCCGGTGCTGACCATCTAATAGGCAATGCACGATCTCCAACCACGTAATAATCTTCAGGATATTTTTCTACACCTGTTCCATAATCTCCCAATTTTGCTGATAAATCCGATGCCACCAAACAATTTCTAGCAGATAAATCTGTGTGTACAAATCCATGATTATGCATATGTTTCAAACCAGTTGCGATATCTAGTGCCATTCGAACGGGGATATTTTCTTTGTTAAGAGCTTCTTGTGATTTTAGATCATGATTTGATAGCAAAAAACCTTTGAGGTCACCTACTGAACATGATTCAAATAGTAATAGGTATGGGTCAGTTTCTAAGCAAAAACCCAGTAGAGTCAAAACATTTTGATGTTGCAGTTTTAAATATGGTGTAGCTTCGCCAAGGAACCAAGCTTTCTCTTTCGAAGTAGCGTCCTCTGTAAGTATTCTTACGACAACACCACCATTTTTTGAAGTTCTGTTACACCCTTCTAAATCAGCTCGACCCTCTACAACTTTTCCAAACCAACCATGACCAATCTCTCTTAAATATTTTAACTTTTCTCTTGGTATAGATAACTCCTGTGCATCGAACCATTCACGACAAGCTTCTGGGAGAGTATTAGAATCGGAATCGTGTTCTTCAAAAAACGATGTTGATAGTGGCAATGGTTTAAGTTTTGGAGAATTTTTAGATCCAGATATAATATGGTCTACAGCTATAGGTTCGAACTGTACTCTGTCTGCAACAGCTAACATATGTGGAACATCTAACTCTAAACCTTCAACTGAGTGGTCAAATGTTGATTCCTGTTCAATGGTGTTCCCATCTTTGAATTCCTAAAACATAAAAAGATGGTAATATTCTCCAAATTATTTTACTAAAACGTGAAAAATTAAAATACATTTAGTATAAAATAATGTTACATATACATGTGTAGATAATTACTAATGTTGGCCATCAATAATGACATATATTTTACTACTTGTAAACAGTAAACATGCAACTGTGGTGAAATATTAAAAAAAAATACAGCAAAGCTTATTGTATGTTCACTAGTTTTCTTCAAAATAATATATAGTTAAATTGTTTCTATTTGTATTTAGAAATAATAAATTTTGAAACAATGAACTATCAATATGTGACTCTTTCTATAAGAATATAGAAATTAAACATTAACTAAAGGTATTTTTTAATTCTTATTTGAATGATTCTTCTGTTGCTCATCTTTTTATTTTAGCTTTAGCATTCAAATAAAGAGAGTCATTGTTAAATTAAAAAAGTTCCTTAATATTTTTTCTAACAATACTGTTCTAAACTTCTTAGTTCAAACGGTTCGTAGCATCAAAGTTACCTGCTTGGACTTTTCTGCTTTGTCCTACAATTAGAAACGTATAAATCATTGTTAAGACGATGAGTAACCATAATGACTTTTATTTGTTACATATAATACAATGATTGATAATAAATTACCTGAAATCCTTTAGGTCGTCTAGGTCTTCGACAACAAAGACATCCGACTAAGGTAAACGCTGTAGCAGTCAGGCTTAGAAGTCCAATCGTATATTGTATCCAGTATCGTTCCCATTTCGATGAAGTATAGATATGTGGAAAATCTATCAAGAGTAAAATAACCTCTCAGTCATTGTATGTTATTAAAATACATGTTGATAACAGACGATTAAATTCAGTACCTGCACGTACTGAAGACGATACAGGATAGGCGGTGAGTGTCGGTAGACCCGCCCAAAACAGCCAACATATCCAGCATAATATGATATCCAACATCGCGCATTGAAGCTCTTTAATGATGATCACAATCCACTTAAGTCATTCTTAAAGATTTAGAATCCCTCGAGACGGTGCGCAATTGTTAAAGCCGAACGATTTATTAAGTCGTAATACGTTCCAATTTTACGACACACATATCACAACTTTCAGTAATCTCATATTTTTACGTCTACACTTTATTGGAAACTAGCTTCGGTCGTACGGAATGTTGTTGAATGACTTTGTCACGGCAATGATAAAATGTTGCAACAATATGTAAAACAGAAATACACGTTTCTTAGGGAAACCACCTGGGCCAAGCATGATACGTATCGTGAAACGGATACAATACAATCGGCTACGGTCCGGTTAAAAGGTAGGTGTAAAATCACCACGCTTGCCAAACCCAGTTCTATTCTTGCCCCTCTATTCTCTCTGTTGCTCTCTTTCTACTTCCAATACACTAATATGCATATATATACTCTGGCTAGACGATTGCTCCAGTCTGACATTTTGATTAGCGCCACATCATATGCATAAATGCATTTGACTGTACAGTTGACTCAAGAGTGCAGTCGAGTACATAGTTCCTCGAACAAATATAATTAAACGAATGACTAACTAAATCTTTACTTTTCTTTATCACGAACGTAGTAAATATAGAAAATCTATGTATAATAAATTAATTTAACGATAGTTGAATAAAGTACCAAGGATTACTATTTCTTAGAAATACTGGACAGATGTTGCAGTGCCTTATGCGATCAGACATAATTTACTAGATGTTACATGCAACTCATAGGACTGAATTGAACTGATTATAATTTAGTCTAATAAGTATTATATAATGATTAATGCATAATTAGATGCACTAAACAAGAAAACATAATGTTAACAGATGGGATGATTAATCTTCAAATTACTATTTACTAGATATTTTAATTCATATGAAATAGAGTATCACTCGTGGAGCAATAATGATAGCAAGATTGTAAAAGAAAGTGGAGCAAAAGTAGACACTTTAATGTCTGACCGGGTGTCAGAATTTCTGAGACGCGGCTGTACAGGGTGTCCCAAAAATGTTGTAATACCTTGAAAGAAGTGGTTCAGAGGGTGATTTGAAACAACTTTTTCCTTAGCGAAAATATCGTCCGAGGTTTCATCGAGGAGATATTAACGGAAAACACTGACCAATTAGAGCGCGGGTATACCGTTGGAGCGGCCGCGGTAGCGAAGGCTACGAGCTAAACGACCGCGCTTATACGCGAACAAGTGACTCGACGTGCATCGAAGGACATTGACGCGGCTGCTTAGCATGTAGCCTTCGCTACCGCGGCCGCTTCAACGGTATACCCGCGCTCTGATTGGTCAGTGTTTTCCGTTAATATCTCCTCAACGAAGTCTCGGACAATATTTTCGTTAAGGAAAAAATTGTTTCAAATCACCCTCCAAACCACCCCTTTCAAGGTGTTACAACATTTTTGAGACACCCTGTATACTTATTGGCCCCCATCATATGAAAGGATTGAGTATACCAAAAACATAGATAGGGTATAGGATAATCCTAACGTCTTATGCAAGTTGGTGTCACGTGAACTGAGGGATCGACTTTGGGAAAAATTAGTCATTTTCCAACGTACTCTACGTTTAAGGATTGTTACTGATTGTTACTCTGGGAACCAAATTCAGTTCAACTACTGAAATCAGTGAACGTGCGTTCGATGGCATTAATTAATTCTGTCTGAAGAAAATATAGCATGTTACGCAGTAATGTCAGGGATGGTTCTCACTCGCGCATGCGTACTGTTTTTAGCGTCAGTAAAGTATCTAATACGACCATAAAACTTGCTGGCACTCTTAATTGCTCCAAAGAATGACAAAAATATGATAGAATTGGGGCCACGCATTGTTTCTTATTTCTACAGTACTGCAAGCTCATTTTTTTCGTAATTTTTGAACGACCCCTTTTAGTGAATCCAATTGAAAATAAAGATGATCGTAGTCTTCGAAACAATGTCCCATTTCTCTCAATATTCCACCGTTAATCACGATATTATTCGATATATTCTAAAATTAAATAGTATTTATCAAAATAAGTTTATATATAGATAAATATACATTAATATGAAAAAATTATTAATCATGGTTTCATATAGGAATAATAAAAACGGTAGTTACAAGTGGTCCCATGGTGTAATGGTTAGCACTCTGGACTTTGAATCCAGCGATCCGAGTTCAAATCTCGGTGGGACCTGAACAATTTTTTTTATTTAAATATAATTGTCAATACTTCAGACATCGTTATGGCAAGAATGACTTTAAAAATGTTAAACTGAATATGATCATTTGGAAATAAATTTGAGCAGTAAATATTGTAACAATTGTATATATACATTATGTAATTTATAAAATATATTCCTTTAAAGAAGTTCTTATAAATCTTACAGTGTAATAATATGAATATTAACGATTACTGCCATTATTAATTCAATTCATTATTTATCAAAGCTTTTGTTTTATTTTTAAAATTACTTTTGAAATGATGCTAAATATTCAACTTATCGATATGTATAGATTTTGGTCTTAGTACTAGTGACGTCACCGGTGGGAAAATGCCTAAGTTTGTAGTGAAAATAGTTCTCACTGCTTTTGTAAGATGGCACTACCGACACCTTTAAATCAAATATTCTTTATTTTATATAAATGCATAATTAATTCGCTTCCTTGCTTTATAAAGCTACAATATAGTAGTTAATATGTTAAATTTATCATTTGTAAGAATAGATAATTAATTCAGCAATAATTATGGTTCCTCTAATCTGTGGTGCCATCTAGTGGTATCAATGGGAACTAGTTTCACTATAAGCTTAAGCGTTGCTTACCGATGGAGCCACTTGTATTAAAACCCGTTCACTGAGCGGCTTAGTGAGTGGTGATTTTTTTTAATGTACCCTTTGCGCTCAATTAAAATCAGTAAACGAAGTAAAACAAACGATCGGTTTTTTGGTTTACTTTCGTTAACGAAAAGTCTTTTTAGTCGTCGTTTATTATGAATTGTGCGTAATTACTTTAGACTCATGTGCTGGGATACATTGTTCACCATGTCTACGGATTTCATGAATATCGATGGTAATATAAAACGAGTACAGAAAGAAACTCTAACTCCATATAAAGTAGCAACTGTTATTTTAATTAAAGAGTACTGCAATGAAACAACGAAAGGTAATTTGAAACACGTTGTTATTTTATGTTTAGTAATAAACAATATTTTTTTTCATAATGACCACATAGCCAATTACAATTATATTACAATGTTGTAACATCACTGTATGATTTTATTATAATACAATAATAAAATTTTACTACAAAGTAGAATAATTTACTAATAGTAATGTATTTATTTTGTTGCAGTAATAATAGAAAGACGTGACTTTTGTTTAGCAGCTTTAAAGTTGATTCAAGTAAGTGAATAATAATTGATTTTTTATATACTATTCTAAGTAAAATAGGTCACTTTTAATTAATTTCTTTTTCATCTATCAGTCACCAGATATGGAGCTTAATGCACTTTTGAACGTACTATATTCTCCTGAATATATTTTACATCGGTTCGCACGTCAGTTGGAAGTACAGTTAAATCTGCTAAATGGAAAGGGAGTTGAAGGATTATTAGATTTGTTTGATAGTGTTGTTCGTCTTATGAAACCAACATTAGATCATTCCTTATCTTTGCCTGCATTAAATAAAAATTCAGTTCTTGGATTATATATAAGAAGAATTATCATCTTTTTCGAGAAGCTACCTTTTGATCAAGTTGTATCACTTTACGAGGCTCTGAAAAAATATCTAGAAAGAAGAACTAGTACCTCTGAAAGTTCTGACATCTCTACAGGTTCTGATGTAGAAGATTCATATTCAAATGAGTAAGTAGTTTTTGCAAAGAGTTTTTAATTTTATCTTATATTTCTTTTGCGTTACAATGTGTACATTGTTGTTAGAATTAAAACAACTTGGGGTGGAAGACAGGCTGAATTACTTGTTGCACAGCAAGCACATGCCCTGCAGACAGATGAACATAAAGCAATGTCCCCTGCAGAGCTGCAAGTTCTTGTGCGAGAACTTTTAAGCTGTAGTCCGTACTATGCTGAAGCTGTGAGTACTGTTTGGTAAGAAGAACGTTTTTTCTGCTTACAGTATAAAAAAATAATTCAAAACTTCGTTATATTGTTTATCTCTTTGTATTTCTCTCTTTCTTTCAGCATTATTTGAGTTATTTGAACTGTCTCAGAGTTAATGAATATTGTGGAGCAGTAGACAGTCTTTATCATTGCTTCGATAGATTAGCTCCATTGGAAAATCGCTCTGCACCTGAAGATAGGTCTCGCATTTTTAGATATGCTGCTTTAAATTTAGCAGTTTTACATGCACAATTTAATCATAAGTATGCATCTTTTACATTGTTTTGTTAATTATCAAGTGGAATACTAACAATTTTTTTCTAAAAGGGAAGTCGCTCAGGCTGCTTTGAAAGAAGCTATCATGATGGCTCAAGAAGCAGGTGATAATGTATGTTTGCAGCTGGCACATGCTTGGATGTATCATCTAATTACCGATCAAAAGTAAGTTCCAATATTTCACATATTACTGATGCATATTGATAATTATATTTTTGATAGGGGTCCCCTTATAGAAAGATCAGTTGGTAAGGCGAGTATGTTAGGAATAACTCATACAACTGGTTTGGGTCTTATCGCTTATGCTCACAATTCCGCTTTAGAGGCTAAGGGTCCATCGCAAGTATTCGAGGTATAAATCTGAATCCAGTTATTGTAAGTTTAAGAATTTTATACTTTATTTAAGATTTAATCCTAATTTATTCTTTGTAGACGCTAATGAAATCTGACGTTTTGAATTGTCAACATTCCATGATCGATTTAATGTCAATGACGTATGCAGAGAAATCTGCGTTGTGGGCGTATTACGGTAAAACTGAGATGTCTTCTGTTTGCGCGCAATTACTGCTTTTACAAAATACGGGCGACAAAAAGCAGCATATGTTCAATGGTCCGTCTACTTGTCAGGCTGTTGTTAACATCGCAAATATTTTGGTTAAATTTGGTGAATACAGTTTAGTTGATATTGTGCTGGCTCATGCTAAGGAAAGGTTCCCCAATGAACCGTGTAATAAGGTATCGGTTACGAATCTATCATTTTGTAATATATGTCACGTTTTAAATGCGTATATAATTTTTAACATTTGTCATGTTTTATGTACACAGGTATGGATGTTAAGCGAGCAACTTTACGTATTCACGCAATTGGTACGACATGAGAAATGGAGCGAGGCTGAAACAATAGCATTGAACATTTCAAGTTTAAACTTTTTAGAAAGTAAATTCAGGTATGACAATCTTTCAACGCGATGCTTATTAAATGCTTATTAAATCTAATAATAATTTTAACACGTGGAAATCTTATATTTTAGGTTAGCTGAAGTTTATTTGGGAAAAGGAGATTATCCAAAGGGTTTAGAGTGTATTGATAGTATCGAAAAGGATGATCGATTAACGCCGCAAAATAAAATTCGAGCTATGATTCTATCGAGTCAAATAATGTGTGCGTCTGTTTTACCGGAAAATGGAATTGCCGGGGTTAATTCTCTAGTGCTTCTTAATACAGCTCTAGAATTGGCCGTACAAAATCATTTGTCCTATTACGAAGTATTGATTAAAATGTATCTCGCAAATATTCAGGTAATCGGATCAGTTAAGAATTTTCAATTTACTTATATTGTTATTAGGATTATTATGATAAATATTTTTTATGAATGTTTCAGTTAATAATGGGAATGCCAACTTTAGCATTGAATTTAGTAGAAGAAGTTATTATTCAAATTTTGGCGCATGCTGGATATTATGATCAAGGCAGAGCATTTGTTTTGTATGCGAAATGTTTAGTCGCTACTGCTCCGACATGTAGCAATGCACGGAAAGACGTAATTTTAAAGGCAATCAAAGCACTCGCTAAAGCTAAAGACTATTTTACAAAAGTCGAAGCGTATGGGAAACTTCGGACTACGTTATGCCTGGAATCTTTGCTGTGTCACGAGATTGACCTGAAAATTGAACGGAATCAATGCGCTTTCGAATTTCGTCAGTTGGAGGAGCAGTTTCCTACTAAGTTAGACAATTTATCTTTGTATTAAAAATTAAACGATTACGAATACATAGATCATGTCTTTTTGTACTACAAATAAATTACTATATGATATTTCTAAAACAAATCCTGTACTGATAAATACCTAAAGTACTATCGCTGGAAGGGATCTTTTGAGGTCGTAAACCGAAACAGTAGTTATTGCTTTATTGGCTCAGGTAACTGATCCGTAGGACGACAGGAGTGTCACTTTCACGGCTCTAAAGTATACATGCCCACGTTACACCCCGGGGCCCCAAGACTTGATGTTTGCTACACGGGTTTTTCCAAATTCGAAAAACCGAAAACTTTATAAAACGAAATAGTCTTATGGTAGTAGATTCATGCATTACAAAATTATGTGTGAACATACATAAGAAGAAAAAAGTTATTGAAATATGAACATCCTAATTCTGATGGCATACGGCCCTGAAAGAAAAGTCTAGCTCTGTCCTTGTCTAAAAAGGTGTCAGATTACTAATTGCGGTCGACTTAAGTTGTAAAGATCGATGTCCGACCGACTTTACGACCTCACAAGATCCCTTCCAGCGACAGTACTTTACTATTTATTTTATACCAGCCGTCTTTTTTAAACTTTTAAACTATCACAGTTTCTCTTGTGAGTTCCCGCTATTTTCGCTCGAATGACTAGCCATCTAGCGGCGAATAAGCGAACTATTTTCGGAGTATGATCAGCGCCTCTATCAGGAAAATGCCCAAGTTTGTCGTCGAATGGTTCCTATTAGTACGGCTAGATGGCGCCATTTGCACAGTTTTTACCGACACCTGATGGTAAATTACCATCCCGTCGGTAAATACCTTGGAAATAGCGTCATCTAGCGGCGACAGCTTCAACTATTCCACGACAAACTTGGGCGTTTTCCCGATAGAGGCGCTGACCAAACTCCGAAAATTAGTTCGGTATGTTTACCGCTAGATGGCGACACAAATTCCCGCGGGAAATTTGAATTTCTTTTTGTTAAATGAAATTAAAGTTCATTAGAAGCATTTGTAGATACTACTCAGTAGTTTAAGAGTCTTTTTCGTATAAATTAATTACGGACGGCTACCACGGACTTTATTTTCTACTATGTAGAGATCAGAATATCGTGCATCGATAAGGCATAGTAATAAATAAAAGATATTTGAGAAATTGGTGCAAAATTTGTGGCGAGTAACTCGCAAATGAATCATTAAATGGCCTGAAAGGGACAAGGGTGGATCAATGACACGAACAATGACAAGTATACAATAGAAACATTTATTCATAGAATCCGCTGCGAAGGTACAACGGAATTTGTTGATATTCTAAAGTTTCTTACCCGCTCCGTACATGGGAGTCGGGTATAATCCATGCGAGTTGGCTTCGTCTTTCATCCCCGTTTCATTGTAGTAATACTTATTAATTCTTTTCGAAGTTTCAACTCGCACGGATCACTTAATAAGTGCACACGAGACACAGATAGGTAGACGAGTACACGCGGAAATCGCCGAGTTGATTTTTCGCCAGAATATTCCGTTTCGATTAACACATTCGAGACCGATATATTGTTGCAACACTATTCCAACAACTCAACAGTTTTGCAGTTTGTATGGTGCATGACTTCATAGGCTGAATCGTCGGTTTGGAATGTATTAATCCTAGCAATTTCCGGTGACGCGTCGAAGACTTTAGATGATGCGTTTTGTTGAGGAAAATTTGGGTGCGTACATGTGATAGATTACACCCGGCATAACGATTCGAGAAACACGCGTACAGGGATGGTTGAGTTCGAATTATCTCTTAGTGGAAAAGTATCAAAGATATACAGGGTGTCTACGTGTAAGTTCGGACATACGCAGGGTGTCAATTCTACAAGAAATTTTCAACAAAAAATTACTCTTAGACATTTTCTTTGCGTCGCATTATTCTCGAGATATTTTCACTGTTAATATTTTTTCTGTGTCTTCGACTTGACACTCTTTAAACGGCCACAACTCCACCAAATTACAGTGCAAACTTAAAATTAAATATACCATTCGAAAGAGCAGTAAATTTCCCATCTCCTGATGGCAAACCAAAATTTATTACGTAGATTTAACAAGTGAAAAATTAGGTCAAACTGTACACTGTGAAAATTTTAAAAAATTTGACTTTTTCTGTATTCGTTTTTCGGTTTCAAAGACGTAGTTGTTTGGCAGGCACTCTTCGGGAAAAACTTCCTCGAAGCCTCAGCTTTTGAATGGTATTGTCAAAAGAAATTGTACGGTGGTATTTTAGGGAGAAAATTATGTTTAAATGCAGATAAAACGTGGGTTTTTAGGTGAAAATCGATATTTTTCAACAAAAATCGACTTGTCACTTTAAAATCAACTTGACATCGAGTTTGATGTATTTTTTAGTGTCACTCCCGAGCCTTCCCAATTGAGAAAAGAACTGATTTTTTGACACCTCAGATCTCTCCCAGCCGTGTGTAGAGCCTGATTGCGAGGTGAATAATAATTGTTTTTGAACATGTGTCCATAGAATTTTCGTTTCTAGAGACTATTTAATCAAAATCAACCTCGGTGTATCGATAAATGATATGGAGATTGGAACACGATTGATTTCACAAAGCAAAAAATCAATGTTTTCGGGGCAGGAAAAACGATAAGTTTTGATTTAGGAGGCGAGCATTTTGAACGCTTTTCTGCATTTAAACGTCATTTTCTCCCTAAAATACCACCGCACAATTTTTTTTTACAATACCATTCCAAAGCTGAGACTTCGAGGAAGTTTTTCCCGAAGAGTGCCTGCCAAACAACTACGTCTTTGAAACCGAAAAACGAATACAGAAAAAGTCAAATTTTTTAAAATTTTCACAGTGTACAGTTTGACCTAATTTTTCACTTGTTAAATCTACGTAATAAATTTTAGTTTGCCATCAGGAGATGGGAAATTTACTGCTCTTTCGAATGGTATACTTAATTTTAAGTTTGCACTGTAATTTGGTGGAGTTATGGCCGTTTAAAGAGTGTCAAGTCAAAAACACAGAAAAAATATTAACAGTGAAAATATCTCGAGAATAATGCGACGCAAAGAAAATGTGTAAGAGTAATTTTTTGTTGGAAATTTCTTGTAGAATTGACACCCTGCGTATGTCCGAACTTACACGTAGACACCCTGTATATGCATATTTTAGAATAAATGACGAATAACTCGAAGTACTATATTTTGTGGCAATTGAATATCAAATTTCTATTAGCTATTAAATTATATTTTGTTGTGTTTACGAACACCAAATACATTATTATTCGGTATTCAATTAACAAAGAATATTCATACATATTCAGTTTAAATACAAAATAAATTGTTGTTTCGGGTCATGTGTACATGGTATTAGTATGGTATGATCTTCAAGATGTTTGTAAGTAAATAAATTAATTAAGTCAATGTACATTTTTCAGAGTCACGAATACTTTCAAAATTGTTTATCGAGATATTTACAAATTTGATTATAAAACAATGTATATATATTGTACATTTTTTAGAAACTTACAAATTCATCGATATAATAATATATACAAAATGTATGATAAGGTTATTTATATAAAATTTAATTGTCGATCATCACGCTAATGCAATATACACACGAGTCTGACAAACATCTAAATTGAAACAAGAAAAATATATTTAAACATTTAACTACAAACAGGATACAAATCAGTAGTTATTCAAATCATTATTATAGGACATTCTGCCCATCCCTGTGCGCACACATGTTTCAATTACATCATTGATGTTCGTTCCCGGTGAGTAACTGACTCAGGCTAATTTTGAGTGCATAACCATCGACTTTCAGTCGTACGACAATTTAGTTATATGCTACTAGAATGAATTCAGAAATGGGATTCTTCGTTTATCAATTTTTGTACATATGTACTTTTGTAAATCCTTTAATAAACATATATATAAAAAAAAAAATTAAATCGACAAAAAAATAAATTTAATTTGAATATTAAATTGAGAAAATGCAAACCACAGGTATATCTGTTTCAATTAATAATTTAATTCTAGGGGGTCCACAGGTGAGGCTTGAAAAACACAAGTCGACACAAGTCGACGAAGAGTCGATAGTATGCCCTAATTATTAGCCTCGCCCTGTCAGAGGGCTTTTACACCTCGCGAAAGGCATTTGTTCTCTTACACGGTCGATTAATTTTTTTTTTTTTTTGCTCTACAGCGCTAACAACAGTCTGTCGTTTGCACATACACTCTTTATCAAATCCGATATGTTTTCCTTCCGAAACGTTTTCTTTTTATTAACGATTACAACGATTTTTTTTCAGGTAAACTAACGATTCGCTCGATAATGGGTGCTCAGCTTTGATTCCTTGATTTTCGACGCTAAGGTGCACGTGTTTTCTTCGGTGCAATGAGAGGAGAGGGGGAAGACGTAGGAAGATACACAGCCGGGTTCACACACAATACTTTTCTCTTAAAATACAAGAGTGCCACGGTTTAGAAAGGACCTCTATATTGTCGTAATCGTTTTCTTTCGTTCGAGCTCGTGTCTTAAACTATGCATGATTGATCGTATCGCTTGGCCGATATTAGCTCTGTTCTCGTAAGAAATAGGTGAGAATTCAATAAAGGATTTTGTGTCCATCATTAAAGGTTCGTTAAAAAATAATTCTGCCTGCGCTTTGGATAATGAAAACCTACTGTCGAGCAAATGAGAAATTCGAAGCCGTGTACCGTGTTCGCGTGACTTCGTTCGAGGTAGGTTTTTCCATTTTAACGTTATCCTGATTGAGCATCTAATAGGGACAGAGTGCGCAAGGATCAAGCGACGGGGGAAGGTTCCTCCTTCCGATCGCGCACGGATTTCCCTGACCCCCGACGTAATTATGTCCGTTGTCGAGAATAGGACGGCAGGGAGATCGCGAAGAAGTAGTTCTCCAACGCCATCGGGGGTCGAAGGGAACTGATAGAACGATCAAACTTCCATGACCCTCTGCACGGAGTTGATGTCGAGCGCACAGTTATTGTTTGTGCCAGATGAATCTTGAAGGTACACTTCCGATGGCGTTACTCCGGCGGTTCTCATGTCGTCCCTCACGCGTTCCACCTGAAACCAATTGTACGGATCATAATAATTTATATTATATATCCCAGAAATGGGTGACACAGGATTTTTCATTAAGGGGGGAGGGTCAAGTAAACAACCGCATTTTCGCGAATTATTTTTCAAGTGTGCGTAATATATATATTTATTTGCAACTAATTACTCGTTATTTTGTAGCATCTAGATAATCTATATAATTTTTTTTATGTAAAAATATTCATAAATGAATGAACAGCAGCTGTTGGAAGTCGACTTCTCGAAAATGCGCCGTGCAACGCACAGATCACTCTAATTATTTTAAATCAAAAATCCATCAATTTTTCGTTAAAATATGGTAACACGCTTTGCATCAACCTAGATTAAAAAAAAAAAACATTTAAAATTTAAAACTTCACGCCACGTTAAAAAAATCTTGTTATATAAAAAGAAAAAGTGATTAAAAACATTGTTTATTTCAATTTTTATAAAAACCTTTAGGTTGATGCAAAGAAGAATAGTTTAAGGAATATTTTGTGCCAAGTTTCATAGCAACCGACTGAGAAATCTCTAAGCTACATTGCACGGTACGCGAAATTTTGTGTTTTGAGAAAAATGCGTTTAATGTTTCCGGATCTAAAACATAGTCCTTCGTGTACCGTTCGGAGCGCATCACTTTAATGACTCTGCAGATACACTTAGACTTCGAAGTTTTAGCTGAAATGGTCGGAGCACATTCTCCGGATGGTAAACTAATTTTCTAAACAAAGAAAAGAAAGGTCAAAATTTTGAATTTTACTTGACCCTCCCCCCTTAAAGAATTAAGAATATTAATTCCGGAGGAGAGACACCAACGAAAATAAATCTCGACAGGATTCGTGAATTTGGCGATGTGAACAAAATTAAACACTACGACAAATGTTAAATTATTTAATCTTCTAATTATCTAATAGAAATTTTCCAGAGGAGAGACACTAACGAAAATAAATCTAAATACTAGACAAATGTTAAATTATCTAAATCTTCTAATTATCTAAATCTTCTAATTATCCAAGAGAAATTTTCATGAGTTTTAGCTCGGCAGCCAACGTGTTAAAAATACTTGGCTGAGCAAATTGACTAAGGAATCCTTCATTAATTACGTGAGAACGCTTTTGGCTATTTTGTACCCTTTCCCCTTCATGTAAGGACACATCAGATTTACGAGCACCCTTACATAACATTGTACTTAAAGTATTTCTAAAAAGGGTTAAATAGTTAAATATCGTATTAAAATATTACGTAAGAATGGCTTTCAACCCCTCGCCGTCCCGAGGTAAGATCATGTAGAGATTCGTTAAACCCCCCTAACTCTCTGAACCCTTGCGTAATTAACGAATGGCTTTTAAGGAAGCTTTGTCTACTTTCTCCTGAGCAGATGTCTCGCTCTGTCGCGTTCTACGCTGAGTTTTCCTCTCTTGGCTAGGGTGGAAGGGGAAGGTGTGTGGCAATCTCCTCTTTTCAAATATTGTTTTCTTTCTTCGAAGTGAACAGAGCTTTCAGAAATTGTTCCAGAATTCAATTTAGCGTTCTATCTATAGAGAACAATTTTTCAGTTCGAATTATTTATTTGCAGAGAACAATTCCGTTACTTGTGGAATACTGCAATGGTGTACAGAGGTTTGAGGTACGATTTAAGCAGACCTCTCTTGGCTAAGCTGGAAGAGAAGGTGTGTGGCAATCTATGGATTGGGCATCCACGTGGCTACTTCCCCTTCCACGTGTCTTAATTAAAAGATACGATCGTCTGTGTAAAACAGAACAGAAGAACTTCTCTCCTCAAAGATTGTTCTCTTTCTTAGAAGTGAACAGAGCTTTCAGAAATTGTTCCAGAATTCAATTTAGCATTCCATCTATAGAGAACAATTTTTCAGTTCGAATTATTTATTTGCAGAGAGCAGTTCCGCCACTTGTGGAATACTATAATGGTGTATAGAGGTTTGAGGTAAGATTTGAGCAGACCCTAACCTGTCGGAGGACCCTCAGCAAATTCAGACCGGCGACTTTCTTTAAGTCGAGCACGTTCCATTTCCCACTTCGGAGGAGTTCGGCGAACAATTCTGGATACTTCGAGACATCCTCGAGTCCTCGGGGTGTTCTGTCAACAAAATCGATTATATTCTTGTGTCAAGTACAACATCGATTGGGTTTGATAACAATCGGCGTCGAAATAGCTTTTCCCAATGTTGGGTTTCGCGGAACTTGTTGGTTTGCGATACAAAGGTCGCGAAATTGCACGTTGGAGGTTGAAGTTATCGTCTTCCTCTTCCAATTACGAAAATTGGTTGTAATTGAAGTAATAGTTGAATTGATAGCAATGTATATTTTTTGAAAGTATTTATTAAATGTTTTACGAATTTTGGAAGTAGCTATTTCCAGTATATAAATTATCCATACATATACATATGTAAACTAATATACATATAAGACTATACTGCACATACTTAATGTAATTACTGCAAATTTGATACATTTATGATCATTATATATCATAATATCGTTATAATAATTGTAGAATATATTTAAAATACGTTATGTATATTTTATGTATGTTTTCTTTACATTTGTACATTATAAATGCATAAAATCCGCAGTCTAGTAATTTTACCTAAATAAGTACGTTAATTCATTATATGAATAACAAACAGTGCATGAGGATTGCTTCGATAATTTTTTACTTTACTTTAATTTTTTTTAATAGACTGTCTTGTATAGCCAATACTTTTGGAGATTGGATCAAAAAACTGAAACCTTGCAGGATAGTTTCACTTCTTGCACTTCATTTAATTCAATAATTAACAGGCCAAACCTTAATTTTATTCACATTCGATAAGAAAATGAAAATTGCAATTGTATTAGGTTGTCCCGAAGGTTTTTTTCGCGAGTTGCACTCAATTATTTTATGTGGTCGTGTTTATATAAATAGACAATCTAATTTCATAGATATTCATGTTGTATCAGTAATGGAGCAAAATGAATCGTGCACAATTCAGTAATGTAACATAAAACATAAACTATTGTGCATGCATTACTTATTAATAAAGCGAAAGAAACTTTTGGGACAACCTAATGCATAGAAAAATAAATCATATAAAATATCGTGCATAAAAGAGTTCTTCAAAAGGCTCCTTAAAATTCTGATGTGTAATAAAATACGAATGGTATAGAATGTATCATACAGTCCTTTTTGGAGAAACCTTTATATAACCTTTACAAAGAATTTTCATAGAAAATACACGCAGTCGTTACGCATAAAATAATTAACGTTCTTCATAATCATAGAATATTTCAGACGTTCTTAAATTTTTACTTGAGACGTAAATGGATTGAAAGCCCAGAATAAAAACCTTCCAAGTGTCTATCGAGTTACCCGCCAAGCGAATAAATAAAAAATATTTAAGATCGTATAATTAGATTTACAGGGCCATTAATTTCCCGTTCGCCGCTTTACAATAACTTGTATAGACGCGATAAATTACGCGATGCGACCAGTAAATTCGGTCCACAGGAAGGTGTACGCCGCTCCCTGTGCAACGATAAATCTTTTCGACTAACTCTGTCACCACGAAAAGGTTAATTAGAGCATATACCGTTAATTAAACTTACAACTCAAATTTGGCACCGAATCGTAATGTCTCGCATTCGGTTGCTGAAATAAGTTCGCGTTATCGACTCGACGGCAGCTATTGAATTTCGGTCTCGAAACACGAAGTACGGATTAAGGATGTTCGAAACTATTTCCAATAATTCATTTCAAAGGAGAGTAAAAATAATATTAAATTTAATGGAATTGTCTAATTTGAATTTAAAGTGAAGTACATTTGTGGCTTCTTTACTTACCGGAAGTTATTGTAATGAAGGAACATTTTTAGGAGAATTTTGATTTGAGGAAAAATGTAATGTTTGTAGAATGTTCATTTTAAGATCAAACTATAATACATTTTGAACTGTAGTCTTTATTTTCATTCTGTTATGTATTCGTTATTTGCTTACATTTGAAAGCATGTTTTGAAATTAACCTAGCAGAGAGTTCAATTTTAGATGAAAAAGTTAGAATTTCTCTGTATAATTTCATTAAATCCTGTTGCAGAGATTTTTTTTTATATTCATTTGTTCCTCGAGATAGTGTAAATAATAATAATAAAAAGTAGCAGTTTTACAATTCTTCAAAGCTTAAGCTATCTTTGAGGTGTCTTATTTCTTATTCTTTAAGTCTTCCCTTTTTTCACGTATCTAAGGTAATTAACCACTCATCTATTTCTCAAGAATAGTGCAAATAATAAAAAGTAGTAGCCTTATAATTCTTCGAAATCTAAGAAATGACGTCTTATCAATAACTTAGGTGCCTTAGCTACCTCTGAGGTGTATTACTCCCTTTAACAAAGTCTTCCCCTTATTCACACATCTACGGTAATTAATAACTCAGGCACAAAGCCTCAAATGTTATTTTATCGTACTCTATTTTCGTCTTATCTCGACCTATGCAATCGCCCCTTAAAGTATGGATATCCATTAGTAAGTAAACACCTCGTATATATACGGAGGAACGAATAGAAAGGGGAACGCAAGTTGATCGATCATTTCTATATTTTGCACGTACTTGTTGATCCCATCGAAGTCGCCACCCACGCCGATGTGGTCCACGCCAATTAGGTTCCTAATGTAGTAAATATGCTCGGCGACGTCGGAGACGGTTGCCTGTGAGCCACATTTCACGAAGTAGTTATAAAATGTCACCATCACCAGACCACCGTTAGCAGCCTGTAAATCAGCAATGACACATTCTTCTTATTGTGCTGAACAAAATAACGATAATACTTCCTGCTCGGTTTAATCAAGTTTTTGGCGAGGGAAAAAGTAAGATTTATTTTTAACGAACTTCATGAAGTTGGCGAAGTAGAGATTTACAGTGATTCTTAAGTACAAGTTAATCGTTAGACTCAATGAAGCTTATTACATTAAAGAATCAAGATAATTATTTTTATTCTCACAGACTTTAAACTAGAGTTAATACAAGTTGAAACTTCGTTATTAAACAGCAATAAGGACTAAATTACATAATTATTATCTATATCCACGCAAGCTTCTTTTCTTAATTTAAGGTGTCACGAATTGATTTACTTGTATTGTTGGTTCTAAAAAGATTCTCGAAAAAATGTATAAAAGAAATTAAGAAAAATAAGAAAAGCCCTCGATAGCACTTAGACAAATTAATATATTACTAAAAAATGCTTGTGGTTTGGATTTCAGATAATTCAGCTCTGAGATAGAGTGATCATCGCGGAATATTCGCGTAAAAAACTAAAAAGTTGTAAGTTTGTTAATTTAAGGAATTTTTACATACAAAAATTGCGACACATGTATTAAGAAATGTTCATGTATCAAATATCCTAAATCCTATGACCAGAAATTTCTTCGTTAGTCCCAGAAAAATTCATAAATATCCCCCTTAAATTGTGGTTTCTTTTACTTCTCTCACATAGATTATCGAATTCGACTTTGATTTTATTTTCTCTATGGACTGAACTCTGTAAAAGGACTGAGCATAATTCACCGCTGCTGTAATTTACAGCCTGTAAATAAAGTAATGGTGTATTTGCCGTTCGATGTACACCCTTGCGATCCTCTTAAATAGCTTTTCCACTCAGTGGCGACCACGCTGGTGGATGTTAATATTTCACGTTCGCGAATAGTATAGAGCAGAAACCCGTCGATGGTAATATCGCGCTAGGATGATTGATGAAAAAGGCAATCAGCTTTCGTCCGTTCGAAGCCTCAGACGTTAATCGCATCTCCTGTTCACTGCCAGTGTCTGACCACAAGCTACTGCGGCACGTTCTTCGACCTATTCTACTGCAATGTTCTCGCCTAACCGCAGTTCGTCTCGATCGGGCGCCGCGCCGTGTCGTTTTTCGAATGCTGTTTCCGACAGTTGCGTGCTGTTTTCCTTAAACGACTACTCTGCAAACGAATTCAGAGCTGAATATTCTCTAAACGACCTAATGGATGTGGATTCCATCACTTATGTGATATAACATGAGGATTAAAAATTGCGGAAATCGTCTTTACATTTTAAGTGGAATAATAACGCTATAATAGAGTGAAAAGTGTTCATCGTGACCCATGGATAAATTATATAAATAATGTGAATTGTACAAAAACAAAATTGATACATGAAGATATTAACATCCTATTATCCTTCATCAGGATCGAGGATTTTAATTATTTTTGTCCCCATCATTCGTAAGTGTCTGATGATTGACTATCAGAGATCGTCTGAAATGATTTTATAATGTTGTATAAACATTTCTGACGATCGGAAAGAAAATAAAATGCAAATAAATTGAAACAGATAGAACGAAAATAAGTAACGCGCTACAAAATGAAGCTGCACTATTTTCGGTATACTTTGAATAAAATACTATTTCAAGATCGTATTCGCATTAAATTAATTAATTATTTCTCCTTAAGTAATATTCTACCCAATTCTTCATCACTGTTTGGTGTAGCTTGTTTCTATTGTCGCGCTTAATGAAACATATTTGCAATTTCCCGTGTAGGGAGAAACGTTCGAGAAAGACTCGCGTCAAGCTGAAAGGAAAAGCGTGGGGACCAACGCTTTTCCTCCGACTGTCGTTCCTCTTCCTCTCTGGAGGATAGATAATTATCTCGGCTCGGCAGCTGAGCTTTCAACGCCTCGAAACATTTACCACCGACGATTCCTTTCTATTGTCGAGTTTTGTGCCCCATTATACAGATCCCCCTGGTCCCGCCCCCGCCCCCACCTCCCCCCGTAGTTAAAAGACAAATTAGTAAGGCGCGAAATCGAGAGATCTATCTGGTCCTGTCTCTCCAAGCATTTCTTCTATGGAACTATTTTATTGGCTCTCTTCATTGAAGCATCGGTTTTCGTTCAATCAGGCCAGAGTTCACGGAACAACCTAACGGAATAATTTACTAAAGGGATCAATTCAAACTACGTGATCTATTTTAATAATGTTCATAATAATGGATCAATTCAAACCATTGTATCGTTTTAACCTCCCGAGGGACGAATTTTAAATGTATTCTTTTTGTTATGCTGTCTTACTTCGATATAACTACATTTTTTAACTCTGAAAGGTATCGTGATCGAATGTAACGATCATTTTTATATAAAAGCAAACGTACTCATATGTGACAGTAACTCCCAAGATGTTAAAATGGAAAATTAACCATGGTGCTTGGTTAATGAACTGTACGGTCATTAGTCTGTATACATAAATACTATTTTAATCCTGATTAATTTAGGATATAATGTTGGTTTGTAATGTTGCAGTATAGGGGAACAATGACAAGCAATAATTAGTAGTAATAGTATAAAAAATAATGGAACTATTTTAAATAGTAAATAAAACATAGCATTATAATTGAAAGTAAAGTAATCCAATCACAAAATCTATATCCTTATTTGTTTGAAACCTTTCAAAGGAGTCAGGTAACTTCATTTTTGAAGAAGTTAAATTAAAGTTGAATAGAGTGTATTTGTATTTGTATTTGTATTTGTAACGTACCAGCTGCTTTAGAATGTCGTCGGGAACATTTCTCGAGGAGTTGCAAATGGCAAAGGCCGAGGAGTGAGAAAAAATGAGGGGCGCTCTGCTGGCCTTTAAAGCGTCCCTCATGGTAGCCCTCGCTGTGTGACTAAGGTCTATCAGCATTCCGAGCCTATTCATTTCCTGGACCACAGCTTTACCGAACTCCGTCAGACCACCTTCTGAAACAAAAGGTGATACTTGCTTTTGCGTTCTTCCGCCCCCTATTCACCGCCGAAACGTTCACCCGTTTTTCAGCACAATAAAGATCGGGATTTCTTAACGACCTCGAACGTTCACGGGGCAGCGGCTTCGGAAGTTTATTTCGTCTATGGTCTATCGAGGTTGCAGAGCGCGATATCAAACGAGGTACTCGAAACGGCTAGAGGAACTGCTTCATTTTTAACGACCGAATCGTTTCGAATAGGAGCGTATAATTCGGAGCAGGGATTTCCCAAAAATATAATAATAATGCAAATGCAACAATATTCTCCATTTATTGAATATATGTATATATGAACGTATTAGATGTTGAATTAATTATGTATAGACTATATACATATCGAATATGTTCTCGAAGCTCCGATTTTTCTAAAATGTAACAATTAACTTTTCCATTGATTGAATATATGTAAATATGAACGTATTACATAATAAACCAATTATATACACAATATGTAGGCACATATTGCCTCCAGGAACTGTTGCTGTGTTTAATTGTAGCAATCTCGAGATACACGAGCTATAGGGCAGTCATTGAGTCAGTGGGGATGCCAGAGGATTATGGAGAGAGGTTTATAAGCAAAGTAATGTAAAACCAGAATTAAATGAATATAAAGAACAAACAAATGTAAGACTGGTATTACATCAGATGTTACAGTCAAATTATACGATTTTGTACCCCTATAAATAAAATTCGCTCGGTATGTATATAATTTTTTTTAAAAGTGTAGTAATATAATTTTCCATCAATTGAATCTATGTTTTTTTACTGTTTGAATTAAAATACATGAAATTGAAATATGTATATTCGTTCTTTGGTTCATTTGAGTAAAAATTTTAGAACTTGTGTTGAATGGACAATTTGGAGAGTAAACACGATTTATATTCGTTGTTAGCGAATGTGTGTACGTGGAGTTTATTTATGAAGTAAAAACGAAATTTATATGTTTTGTTACGAAAATCAACCACGTATAACACTGATTTATAGGACTCATCGTTACAGAATGGCGCCCAAAGTAGAGCCAAGCGTTGGCTGGACATTAGCGTTACAAAGTTTCTTTCTCGAGGTCGTTAGTATGTAAAAATGGTAATTTTATCGTTTCACGATACTCACTGTCCTCATTTCCGTCCTCCACCGACGAACTTTTCGCCCATGGTGTGTTACAAGTGTGCGTGAGCGTGAGGTACCGTACACCCAAGTGATACAGTGTCCTTAAAACGGCTAAACTACTTCCTAGGCTATGTCCACCCTCCACCCCGATCAGGGAAGCTATCCTGCCCCTTCCATGAGCCTCCAGGATCTCTGAAAGTCAAGCATCAGTCATTTACAAATAATTGAGTGAAAGATATTTAAAATCTTCGGAAGCATACCGTGTCAAATATAAAGCTTTGAAATTTTAAACAAATATTTAGAAAAATATTTTAGATAGTCACGTTAAATTTTAAGGAGTCACTTTGTTTTTAAGATTGAAAATCTCTTTATTTTCGAACAGTCGAGATTCATGACCCGTTATATGGTGAAAAATGTTGCGAGGGAATGAAATGGGTGGTTAGTAACACAATAAATATGTCCCGTGGCACAGCTTGAAAAGTGGAGGGGAAATGCGATGAAAATAGAGAAGGACAGCGAATAAAGAACAGGACGCACAGTGTGATATTTCAGTGATCTAGGGACAAAACTTATGTGGTCTAATATTTCGGTAACTGTTAGGTCGCCCACACACGAAGCTACTCAAAAGAAACGTAATTGGTTGATTAAAATCACAAACTTGTTACTTCTTGGTTAGTAATGATTTAGAACATTTTTAGAAAAACCATCTATCGCTGTCCGCGCGGTGTAATATTACAGCAAAATCATATTCTCGATCATTGCTTGAACAAATACTGTTAATAATTAATGTAACTATTGTCAGAAATTAAATTTTAGTTATTCCAGTTAACAGATATAACGATATAGAAAAATTTCTTACGATTACTGTGTGAATACTTACTTTGAATACTTACTTTGAAACGTGATTGTTTTTAATATTTAATCGAGAACTGAATGTTACACTATCATATGCATTGTAAATATTCAATTAATTCGGAGATGTACATATTTAATGCATTTGAAAGTTTCAGATTATTACACCAATGTTTTTCGAAAAAGTAGTATTTCCGAACATGACAAGTTGAGAAAAAGTAATCGCAAGATATTTTTCTATATTATAATGTCTATTAATTGGAAGAACTAAATACTAATTTTTGACAATAGTTAAATTAATTATTAACAAGACTTATTATTTAAACAATCATGGGGAATATGATTATGCTGTGGTATTAATGTTTCGTAAATTCTTTTGTGGATGGATCCAACGAGCCTTCGAATCGACATGTCACGACATGTCACGCGGTTGTTGTTCGCTCTTCCCCTTCTCTACTTCGAGACGCACAAGCGAGCCACTACCCTCGACCGATACAGGTATACGAGGGGTGAGAGCTCATTCTTCGACGATCCATCGGTCGATATGGATCTCGCGATCGCGCGTCCGCGTCTCGCGTCCCTCCTACCTTTGCTTGTGTAGTTTTCCTTAGTTATCGTAGTTTGGTATTGGTTGTGGGTATCTTAGTTTGGTTTGGTTAGTTTTAAGGCACGCGTGTACGAGTGTCTTTCCTCTGCCAAATAATTAGTAATCATTTGTTCAATTATTTTGTTTGTTCGTAAGTCCACACTGGACTCGCAACTCCGTTCTCCATTTCGGTCACTATTACTTCATGTCATAAGTGAAGTGATCAACTGTGTAACTGGACAGAAAGGTCGGTTGCCGTCCTCCTGGTGGATCTGTACTCGAGAGGAAGACAATCGGCTCCTCCGGATCGGTTCTCTACTCCCTGTATCCCGTCTGGTGTAGTCCAGGCTCCCGGCGCAGTGCAGTAAGTCCAAAGCGCAGTGAGACGGGTGCAAGTCGGGTCCGTCGTGGCTCCCAGATGGGTGCAGGGTGTGGAGGACTGGTTCGGAGGCGTCGGTCGTCTTCCTCTCGAGTCCAGATCCAACAAGAAGAAACGGGACTGACTCAGTAAGTCCAGTTTCATGGTCGCGTCGTGTCGCGATTTCCATTTAGCTTCCATTTAGTTGAAATAATTATTTGGCAGAGTCAGACTTAGACTTTGGAAATCGAAGGGAATTTTGTTTTCCATTGATTTCCATCGTTTTGTACTTAGTATTAAGCTCGTCGACTCTATCTAGAGTATGCATCTATGCGTGTATACTCTATGTAGAGGGAGATCGAAGGAAGTTTAATTCCTTCTATCTCCGGGTCTCCAGTTGCAGCAACCTCCACGTGGTGAGACCTGGTAATCGCTATTATTCGGGACGAAGTATTGTTCGTCACGAATAATATCGAGCTAATGGCTGCGAACTGGTAATAAGATATTTAGATATCAAAAGTGGAAAGTGAAAAAGTGGAAAGTGGAAAAGTGCAAAGTGAAATGTGCAAAGTGAAAAAGTGTCAAGTGTCAAGTGTCAAGTGTCAAGTGCAAAGTGGAGAAGTGCAAAGTGAAGAAGTGCAAAGTGAAATGTGCAAAGTGAAAAAGTGTCAAGTCTCAAGTGTAAAGTGTGGGAATGGTTTCTGTTATTATTCCACTAATAGGATCGACGGGATCCGTTTCGTCCAAGGATCGGCTATCTTTTAATCGCCCCAAAACGTTGCACTGGAACGAAATTCATCGTAACGGAGCTCCAGGAAAATTTTATTTACGGCCTCGTTGTTTCGTTGAATCGGGAAGAGATACGGTCGGCTATCGAACTGGGACCACCGTGTTGCGGTGCGCGAGCAAAGTTTTGCGTTTCAAGCCCGGAATTTACGAGCCCGTGCTTAATGGGAGCTTTTCGGCCGCGCTGTTCCCTCGGCAGAGAAACAGGGGAATAAAAATACCGTTTCCGTGTCGCGCTCGCCGCGCGCAGCGGCTCGTTTCGGATAATCGTGAAAGATACCCACCCCTTGAAGATGCAGCAAACTGCATGTGTTGCGAGTACTTCTCTATGAGCCTCTTAATGAGGTCCACCTGCTCCAAAGTCAGCTGGACCGCGTTGAGATGCTGAGACTCGCACGGCACGTAGGCAGCCCAAAACTGTGAACAAAGTGTTCGCGATTAGTTGTCGGTTAATTACGGATCATACTATTAGTTCGTGCCTCTTATTGTTCTTTTATTTCCATTATATTTAATCATATCGTTGATTATCGTTTGCATCTATTTTTTATATTCATTATAGTATGTTATAGTTTTTTTTTTATTAATTATAAACACAATTCAAAACAGGTAATTATAGGACGATTTAATAATAAATGGATTGCAGATATGTGTGCATTTATGAGGAGTATAAATACATCAAAATATACAAGAATGTGTACAAATTCATAAATATATAAAATATATAAAATACAATATATATTTTAATTTAAGATTCTGTTCTTCATTTGTGTATATAAAGATATGAATTTGCATAAACATCCGTAATCTAATAATAAGTCATGTATGGAACAAGTATATCACGCGGATATTTCCGTAGGGTCCAGTTTTTCTTTCTTTGGGTCTCCATTGGTAAATAATTTGGTGTCCAGATTGAGATCAAAACTGTTGATGAGCTTGAAGCTTTATCTTAAGTGAGAATACACAAAAGTGATACAAGGGAAAGTTTTTTTGTTTATGTGGTCCTTTTGTACGTTTGAGAGATCAGTGATCTTCTTTATGTTACGAAACAGAAATACACCTTTATAATAAAAAAACAGAAAATAGATAAAAAAAAAAATAAAAAAAAAATACTAAAAGACACTTCTTTTCTTACGCATAAAAATAGATTCTTGAATTCATGAAATACATGTAAATTTCTTCAATTTGTGAGGAAACTTTATGGGCCACACTTGCGTTATTATAACTCTGATATTACTTTGAAAAATGGAAAGTACAACTTTCCGAGAACCAAGTTCTTCGATTTTTCGAATTTGTCGTTATCGTAGTGCCAGGATGGAGAACTCGGGTCCTCCGCGAGGGTTGCTCGAGGATCAAAGCAGAGAGAACCGCCCAGAACACGTTCAAATTGCATGCGCCTCCAATTTGTTTACGCTTTACAACAATAGCTCGCCTCGACTCCGTGAACTTCGTGGGAAGCTCTCTCGGCACTTCAAAACTCGGGATCTTCCCTCGCCAATCCAATATTCGCTACTCGAAGCCCCGTTTCGGATCTTCGTTCCATTTCAGGGCCAACCCGAGCGAACGGAGTATCACGAAGAGCTCGTAATATTAGGAGAGATAACGGGGCGTCGGCGTCGGGATGACACAGAAAACGTTTCCTTTCTTTAGAAAAGGGGGCCGTGTTGTGCACAGAAGTGAAGCAGAAATCGCTGTACCAGTGGTTCTTAACCTTTTTTAGTTCACGCCACAGTTCGAAAGAAGATTAGCGGGATAATTTAGAGAGAAAAAAAGAGTTGGCACAGTTTCTTCGTTATCAATTGTTATGATAGTAGTAATAAATTAACGAAGACCAGATTAACGAGGAAATTTAATGATGTTTCGATTGTAACTGTTGTAACACCTTCTGGTTCTTTGGAAATCCAAAGTAACTAATGTTGAAGATAGATCTCTAATATAAAATGATGAAAATTATGGAATATGCATAAAGAGAAAAGAGAAATTCCTTTTATTCCGAATTGTTATGATGGTAAAAATAAATTAATGGAAGCCAGATTAACGAGGGAATTTAATGATGTTTTGATTGTAACTGTTGTAACACCTTCTGGTTCTATGGATATCAAAACTAACGTCGGAGAAGAATCCTTAATACAAAATAATGCAAATCATGAAATTAAAAGAATAATAATAATAATAATTTTGTTTAACTTGTGATTGCAATCAGGTTTTCACAAACAAAAACGTTCTTTCATTGTTTTCGACTGTAACTACTTCCAGTTCTGATACCAATTTCCATTATTCCATGGTAAGTACTATGTTGTCCTAAACCTTTCCTTCGTGACTTACATTCAATTATTTTATGTGGCAGAGTTTATATAAGTAGACAACCTCGTTTCTTAGATACTGATGTTACATTAGTAATGGAGCAAAATGGATCAAAACACAATTCAATAATATAGTATGAAACAGAATATATTGTGTACGTATCACTCATTAATAAAACGAAAGAATCTTTTGGGACAACCTAATACATTTGCGCGTAGGACGTGGCACGAAATTTACGATAGCGGAACAGACAGTCTCGCCGCGAAATCGATATGGAAGATTAATGAAGTTATCGAGCATTTCCAGTAGATTAAAACTGAAGGGTGCGCGGTAAGGGGCCCGTTCCTCTATGCTTTTTATGATAACACCTTTCTCGTTTCGCACTTAATCTGCACGCGTGGCATGCGGGGAAGGTTCGAAAGGCTCTTCGCAGCCGAGCTAGCTTCGAGAAATTGCGCGGCGCCGCAAAGAAGTCCCAAATTAATTACACCGTTCCTTCTACTTGGCTAAATAAAAAAGCTAAGTGAATTTCATGGGTGGCGGGTCTCGCTCGGCAGTTTCGTTATTTTGCTCTTTACCTTACGTTCCACGTAATTTCTCAACTTTCGTGTGAAATATGCGCGAACGTGCCATGAAAATATCTCAACTTTAATTTTCCTTAACCCGAGCGTGTTACGTAGAGGTACGCGATCGTGGGCATAAATAAGCGCGTGTACGTGTGCATGCGCGTAGATAGGGTGCTCGAAAAATAACTGGTAGAATTTTGTACGGTTCATTAAGATTAGATGAAATGAATAATTGTGATGAAATAATTTGCTCCATAATTGGTAAAAATGTTTCCTCCGTTACTTTTCTGATTTATTCTTGATTGGTATTATTCTATCGATGTTATTTCATTGGGGTTTTAACAACATTTTTGTTTTTATGTACTAAAAATTTTAGAAATGACTATAGACATAGACATTGAAATTTCACTTAATTGTACACAATTATCGAGGCTTTTATTTATGTAACTAGTCTTCCATTCTCACCTCCTCTATTTATTTGATAATATTCTGACCTTCTTGATTAAATTACCATATCTTTTGCCAAGTCTAAAGAGGATACTTGATCGATATTATTTCATTGGGATTTCAACAATATTTTTGTTTTTATCTACTAAAGATTTTAGAAATGACTATGGACATAGACATGGAAATTTACTTAATTGTACGTGATTATCGAGACATTTATTTACAAAGCTAATCTTTGAATCTCTCTACTCCTCTATTTACATGCTAATTTCTTGATTAAATTACTAAAATTTATATATTTTATCTACTTGTAAATACAATTCATAAAATGATGGTCAAAAATGTTGATGATTGCTTGATTAAATTTAGTTAAAATCTAAATTACAATGGAATGTTCACCCTAGAAATGGTATAATAAAGCGTGTAGGATTGAAACTGTGTTAAACAATGTAATTTAATGCAATTGTACGTGTTCAGTACGTTATCAAACGCTTTCCAAAGGTTTCAGGTCGCTGGAACACCGTTGGTGCTCATGAAATGAGGGTCGAAAATGTTGAAGATTGCTTGATTAAATTTAGTTAAAATCTAAATTACAATGAAATGTTCACCCTAGAAATGGTATAATGAAGCGTGTAGGGATTAATGTAAAGAGATACGTACCTGACCCCCAACCATGCCCTGGCGAAGTCTAACCAGGTCGGTCTGACTCCACGCGCTCTTGCTCCAGGGCGCGACCTGTCGTAGATCCTTGTCGAAGTCGAACTCAGCCAGCTGGTTGTGGACGAAGTTTCTAATGTTCCAGGGTAGGTCATTGTGCCCGTCGATCAAAGGCACCTCGGAAAGAACCTGTCGCACGGTCTCCAACCTTTCCCTCGGCGACGTCAGGTGTGCAGTCTCGCCATCGACTGGTCGTGGCCCAACTTTGCCAACCCAGCATCCAATTGACAGTATGATCACGCTTGCTATCCAGACACCGCTCTGACCGCCACACTGTAACATCGTTCGATCGTTCACGGTTAGTCGACAATTATCGATGAACGATATCGTTTGCAACGATGAAGATAAATAGAGGTGGATTATGTTTTTGGAGAGTTGTTAGACGTCAAATGGTGAGTTAGAATTATGTGCAAGGGAAGAATTTGTATCGAGATCATTTGTGCTGAGATCTCTATTTAGCTTCACCTCTCATAGTTAAAATAATCAATCGCAATCGAAGGGAATATTATTTTCCTTTGATTTCCATGGTTTCGTACTTAGTATTAAGCTTCTATCTCCCTCGCGGGTCTCCAATCACAGTATAGCCCTCGTGACGAGACGTGGTAACCGATATTATTCACGACAAACAATCTTCCGTCGCGAGTAATATCGAGCTAATCTCTGCGAACTTGTAATAAGATTTTTAGATTCATGAATGAAAGCTACATTATAAGATTATAGTAAGAAAAAGATATTGTTCTTTGTGTACTATCATGGCCATTCAGCGAAGTCGGACACTGAATGGACCAGCATCTCAAATTTTGTTCAAATTTAAGCAGTGATGGGCAAAACCCTAGGCTTCGAATAAATCTGAAGTTTGCCGATGTGTTTCTCTCGTTTCCTTCTTTGGAAAATGTTCAACAGAAGAAACGAGACAAACACATCGGCAAACTTCAGATTTATTCGAAGCCTAGGGTTTTGCCCATCACTGAATTTAAGGATCTTGTAGTCTTTTGCATAAGTCTTTACTTGAGTATCACGCAACGTACGGCTCGTATCTCGTATGCACGTCGTCGTTAAAAAGTTAAATTTATAATCGAGAATTGAGAAGGTTGGGCAATTTAACGTAACAAAATGGCGAGTAAATATTATTACTTCAACTCCTGTTATAAATGATTTAATATAAACGTAACAGTTCTCATCGTTTATTACATTTGCAAGCTTCACTGACAAACTAGAGGTTCGAAACGCGAGATACTTTCTCGGACATCGTGATATTACACACGAAGAGGCTCCATGTATCGCAATTATCCATTTCGCGTTAATTCTTGGATGTCGACTGCATTCTCCGCTGATGCCGTTCCAAAGGGAGCTACGAAGTCGGACGAGCAGCCGAAGCTTTGACGCTCCAGTCCAGAAATAATTTACTGTTTCGTCCTGTGAGTTGCAAATGTCGCCGGTGTACGGGCGACTGACATCGCAACTGGGGATGGCTACTGAATAGTTTATGATCACCGTCAAAGGAGAGCAGTGAATTCCTTTCTGGGAACGGTTGTTCTGCGAAGCCGATCAAAGCGTGTCGAAAGCCAGCGACGAAAATGGGATCATTTTATTTCCGTTCTGATTATCTTCGCCTTCTCGCAGTCGTTTCTTAGAGGATACATTTAAAAGGGAAGTTCGGCGATTGTCAAACGCCGAAAAATTTGAATTTCTGCAGATGTAAAGTTCACGGGGACCTAGTCACAGCGCCCCTTACCATTTTGGTCCAAATTCGGTTTCGAGGGTAAAAAAATCCCTCCGAAATAGGAAATTCTGATTATTCGTTTCTTAGAGGATACATTTAAAAGGGAAGTTTGGCAATTGTCATTAAAATTTGAATTTCTGCAGATGTAAAGTTCACAGGGACCTAGTCACAGCGCCCCTTTCCATTTTGGCCCAAATTGGGTTTCGAGGGTAAAACATCCCTCCGTTTGAATGCGTACAAGGTATTGAAAAAGTTTTGAATACAAAATTTAATGGTTTGTGACATTCTATAACACGGTAGTAAAAAATAAAAAAAAAAATTGATTTTCAATATTTCCGCCATCATCAATCTTTTTCATCACCTGCTGCATTAAAATTGTATTTGGAATTTTGTAAACGTTTTTATACTGTACAATTTTCGCCCAATCAAGTTTGTTCCATCTGTTACCAAATTCGAGTTTCTGTGCAATTACGTATCCTGTAAAATTTGAAAAATTGATAACTCTTGATTGGATAAACGGACATCAATTATCAAAACGTGAAACTGCGTGTTTTTAAGCGAAGAAGTTTTAAAATGTTTCTTTATAGAATTATCGAAAAAGTCTATCTTTTAGATTTATTTGTCGGAAAAATACGTAAAAGTGCTTAATCTTCAAAAATTCGTAGCTCTCTCATTAATGAATATTTTAAATTTAAAATTTTTTTTGTTGCACATGGAATCTTACAAAAAAAGAACAGAAAATTTTCCTCTAAAGTGAAAACCCATATTTAAAAAAACGAAGAATGAGTTTTTGAAGAATTCTCAAGGGGATAATGCCTCGTCGATTTTGATCGAAATCGAATTTTGTATAAACGAGATTCATCTAATCGTAGATCAGAGAAAGTTCAAATCTGTTAAAAGGCGATCAATGGTTTAATGTTATCGACTGTGTTATTTAATGAAAACGTATGTATGTATGTAGAGTAAGAACATTGTCTCAAACGGTGTGTTTCTCGATTTTGTTTGTTTATATTTCTTTCATATTTAACCGAACCTTGCTCACCGTCTGTATGGCTGCCGGAATGGAACCTCGTACATTGTTCTCATAGCCACGTTTCTCGTATATTGGGTACATTGCCTATAGTATAATTTGTCGTACAAACAAACTCTGTTGAATAAAATCAAAGAAACTTCTCGCCTGTATCTGAAACAATCATAATAAAAAAAATTCGAAACACACACATCACGTGTTCTGCTGCCTCAATTACATTGTCGTACTCGCGTTCAAGTTCGTTGAATGAGATTACGGTCGATGGCAATTCGTCAGAGGGCCGACGGATCGGTTCCAGCGATGTGATTGATCGGTTGACAAGTTGATTAAAATAGAAAATCAGCTGTCGGACTCGCTCCGAGAAGACAAACTTCTCCTCTAATGCAACCTTCCCCGGGGAAAATCCGTCGAATCAAATCGACGAATCAAACGGCAATTTGTACGTGGAAGGGTGGTGCTCTCACTGACGTACCTTTCACACGTGAACGTCCATTAACGGATTCTTTCAGTGGGGCTTTCGACCGTTTTCCTTGGGCACAACGAACCTTCGATCTGTCGAATTACCTGAAAAGGTAAACCTCGAAGAAACGCGTGCTCCCAGCGTCTGGAAATCTCCACTCGAGAACAACGTGTAAATAAAGATTGAGTAGGATCAGTGCTTTGAAGGAATATTTTCGTCTCTTTTGTATACGAAGCCTTTGTATCGGAGCATCGATTTCAGTAGGAATTTAGAAAACGGTACGTTTTGTCTTTGGGGAAATTGTGTATAAAATATAAAGGGTGATTTTTATACTTTTATTAAGTTAGGTGGTTGTAAAGATAGTGGTTACGGATTTACTTTTGAGTGGTTGATTTAGTTTCGTAGTTTTTGGTGAAATGGAAATTCGTGCGTTATGTGCGCTCGTAATATTTCGATATTGTATTTTAGATGGCATACGATATTTGGGAACGGAACTTATTGGGACAGTCTTGGGAAATTAGTAATAATAATTCGTTGTTACTAGTACAAAGTTCTTCTCCAAGAATAAATACGATGTATTCAAAATGGAATATCTCCACTTTAGTAGCCTAATTCCACCTATTACATTCGAAATTTAATGGTTTACATTTTGCAAACAAATTTACGTCAAGATTTAAATTATTATAAATAGGAGTAAAATAAATGAACCAAAATTTATTTAAAGTTGAGTCGTTCATTATACAAATCGATTAAATCGATAAAACAAAAAGTTGAGAAATTTAATAAAATAATGTACATTGTTTTTTAAAATTCCCTTTATAATATAGATTCAGGCAAATATTGCAGAATGCATAAATACAGATGTAGCTTTTACCTAATGGCACATAAGATTAATAAGAAAGAATAGTCCAACAAATAATCATCAGTAATGTTACAATTTTTGTGTGACTGGTAAAGTTAATCAATTTATGAACGGCTCAAATGATAATAAAATTTAAAAAAATGATTAGATGGCCCTCGTGAAAGGATAATAAAACAAATAAACCAATTACTTAAAATTCCTAACAAAATTTGAAGACCGTTAACAAATATCATCGGTAATATTACAATTTTTGTGTGACTGGTAAAGTTAATCAATTTATGGACGGCTCAAATGATAATAAAATTTAAAAAAATGATTAGATGGCCCTCGTGAAAGGAAAATAAAACAAATAAACCAATTACTTGAAATTCCTAACAAAATTTGAAGACCTTAAAAGTCTTCCCTGTATCTGTTGGTCGCTACTAAGTAAATAGAAAGAGCTCGAGGAAACTCATCAGTCTGGAAAGGGTGGATCTGGTCGATCTTCTGGTCGATCCGTGGCACGTATCGAAACCGCCGATAGTTTAGCTACAAACGGTCTAAGTCGCAAAAGGCCATTTCTCACCGATGGCAATTTAGATCTCGATCGTTTCTTCGGAGCCCACTTATATCGTTACTTGAAATAAACGCCGGGATTTAATGTGTTCCGCCGAATTTATCACTCCGCTGTTCGGGACAGCTGCTTCGAGATCCGCGAGATGGTGTGGGTTGAAGGGGGTGAGAACGCCGCCGTCATGGCGCAGAGAGAGATATATACATCAGGCCGCGGGGGTGTATTTTTGTTTTACTCTCGAAACGCGCTTTATGTCGGCGTGCACGCGGCAGAACCGTCGCGTACGTTCGGAATTTTGATCAGCCGCCGGTTTTACACGCTTGCTTTTACATATTTCGCTTTTCCAGGCAACGTTTGTCGTTTGGAGGGTTTGCAACGACGTTATCGCGGAGTGTACGTCATCCAAAGAAAGAAGACTGATTCACAGAGTGGTTGTTTCATGCATTTATGGCGCGCGCTACCGTGGAAACGTATGCGATACGTATTTCATAAATTGAGGGCGAAAACCATATTATTATATTAACACTAAATCTACGACGACCGATCAAATGACCGTTTTCAAATTTTAGTATATATTTCTTATACACAATATATACATTATATTCAATTGCTTCATGCATTATTCAATTTAGGCCCACGTAAAAT